AGGCGCTGGCCCGCACACCTGCACGTGCGCACAGCCGCACATGCACGTCGCAGGCACACACGCACAGCCTCATGCGCGCACAGCCGCACCACGTGCACAGCCTCACGCGCACAGCCGCAGGCCTGCACAGCCTCACGCATGCACAGGTGCAGGCCCGCGCACAGCTGCACACAGCCGCACACGCACAGCCGCACGTGCGCACAGCTGCAGGCCCGCACAGCCACAAACGCACACAGCTGCACACGCGCACAGGCGCAGGCACAGCCGCACATGCACAGCTGCACACGCACAGCTGCAGGCCTGCACAGCCGCACCACGTGCACAGCCTCATGCGCACAGCCGCAGGCCTGCACAGCCTCACGCGTGCACAGGTGCAGGCCTGCGCACAGCCGCACACGCACAGCCTCACGTGCGCACAGCCGCAGGCGGGGGCACAGCTGCAGGCGCCAGAGCCAGGGGCCAAACTGGTTTGACCACCTCCAAAGTCAGCCTTGCCTATGTGCCGGCTCATTGTCTCCTTGAATAAGACACTTTTCTTTGTCTTACACGCTGGAGCCTTGTGCAGCTCCGCACACAGAGGGGGTGCTCAGAATCATGTGGGCAGATTCTGGAAGCACCCAGAATCTGTCTCCCCACCTGCACGGCTGTTGTCCGGCACAATCTGACATAACCATTTTGGAGCTCTGGAGCCTACGGAAGGCTTGCGGCTTCCAGGGGAGGGCTTGGATGGTAAACTGCGGTTAGATTTGGTCACTTTGAGCCCGGCCCCGTGGCAGGCAGCTGAGCACCTGTTCCTGGAGCAGCTTGCACAGTGTGTGGGGACCAGGGTGGGTAAGGACTCTGTCCTGCCAATACTGGGGGTCCGTGCTCTGCTTGCTGAGGAGGGCAGCCAGTGACATCACCCCTCCCTCTCCAGCTGAAGTAGCATCCAAGGCATTTAAAGGGCCAGTGCCCTTTTTTCTCCCCTTCATTTTTCACTTGGGGGTTCCCCCCCTTTCAGGGGCCAGAAGTTAGGGACTAGGACACTCAAAAACCACTGCATATGTGGGGCAAATTAGGAAGTGACTGTGTATGTCCAGGTAAGCCTCAGAAAAGAACTGAGGAGATTTTAAGTTTATACCTCAGGTTGGTCCTTGGCACAGAGACAGCCTACGTCAACCAAAAAAGCAAAACCAATACACAAGTCAATTACAAAACCCTAACAAAATCAATAAGCAGACCTTGGGGAAGGGGGGAGAATCTGATTTTCAGAGTTACCCCATTATTAGATTCACATGTCTAGTTTTAACAAAAAATCACAAGAAACAAACAGTAAAGTGTGGTTCATTCAAAGGGAAAAAATAAATCAGCAGAAACTGTCCCTGAAGAAAAGACTTAATGGCAGATCTATTAGATGAAGACTTTAAGACAACGGTCTTAAACATGCTTAAGAACTGAAGGGAGATGGAGAGAGAGTCAAGAAAGTGAAGTGTGAACAAAACAGAAATACCAACAAAGAGAGCTAGAAACGAAAAAGAAATTCTGAGACTTCAAATTAACAGCTGAAGTGAAAAATGCATGAGACGGAATCAGAGGCAGATTTGAACAGGCAGAAGAAAGAATCAGCACACTTACAGATAAGACCATTGAAATGACCCAGTCTGACAAAGAGAAGGAAAAAAGATTGAAGAAAAGTGAACAGAGCCTACGGGAGGGACATGGGCCATACAATGCATCGAATACAATTTTGTGGCATCCGGGCAGGGACAGAGCCATAAAGGAACAGGGTTTTTGTGTGTGACCGGAAGTTAACCTGTTATAAATTCAAATTAGAGGGTTATAACTTTAGGGTGGGAAGTGTAATCTCTGTGGTAACCACAAAGAAATTAGGTATAGAATATACACAAAAGAAAATGAGAGGAATTTAAACATACCATGACAAAAAAAAGTCAGTCAAACACAAAAGAAGAGAGTGTTGCAGGAAATGAGCAAAAAGTTATAAGACATATAGAGAACAATACCAGAATGACAGAAGTCTCTCCTTATCAGTAATTACTTTAAATGTAAATGGATTAAACTCTCCAATCAAAAGAGATTAGCAGAACAGATAAAAACACAGGACCCAACTACACGCTGTCCACAAGAGACTCACCTCCAAAGACAAAGATATTCCATGCAAATAGTAATCGAAAGAGAGGAGTGGCTGCTAGTATCAGACAAAATAGACTTTAAATAAAAAAAGGTTAGGAGACACGAGAAGGATGTTATAGATTAATGAGAAGTTTAGTATAACAAGAAGATATTACAGTTGTAAACATTTATCCACCAAATGACAGAGAATCAAAATATATAAAGCAAAAACTGAATTGAAGGAAGAAACAGTTGTCCGGTACCAGTAGGAGACTTCCGTATATACTCACAGTGATGGAAGGACTCACGCAGTGCAATAAAGTGACTATCCCAGCAGACTCGTGCAGAACGCTCCACCCGGTAGCTGCTCAGATGTCCTTCTCTAGTGCACGTGGGCATTCTCCAGGATGAACCACGTGTTAGGACACAGGTCTCCATAGATGTAAAAAGATAGGCTGCAAGGAATCTTCTCTGCAGTGGGATGAAGTTAGAAGTTCATAACAGAAGAACTGGAAGACTCACAGAACTGTGGAACTTGAACAACACACTCCCAAACAATCAGTGGATCAAAGAAGAAATGATGAGGGAAATTAGAAAATAATTAAGGATGAATGAAAATGAGAACACACCAAAGCTCACAGGATGCAGCAACAGTGGGGCTAAGGGGGGGGATGTTTATAGCTTTCAAAGCCTATATTAAAAACCAAAGATCTTGGGGTGCCTGGGAGGCTCAGTTGGTGAAGCGTCTGCCTTCGGCTCAGGTCATGATCCCAGAGTCCTGGGATTGAGCCTACATAGGGCTCCCTGCTCAGCGGGAGTCTGCTTCTCCCTCTGCCCCTCGCCTTGCTCGTGCTCACTTGCTCTCTCGCTCTCCTCTCTCTGTCAACTAAATAAAATCTTAAAAAAAAACCCAAACAAACCAAAGATCTCAAATCAACAATCCTAAGTTTTTAGAAAAAGAACAAACTAAACACAAAGCTAGCAGAGGGAAGAAAGTAATAAAGATTAGAACAGTGATAAGTGAAATAGTGAATAGAAAAACAGTAGAGAAAACTAATGACATCAGGAGTTGGTTCTTTAAAAAGATCAACAAAAAGTGTAAGCTTTTAGCTGGACAGACCAAGAAAAAAAGAGAAGACTCAAATTGTCAAAATCAGAAATGAAAGTGGGGGTTTTACTGCTGATTCTATGGAAGTAAAAGGGATTATAAGAGAGTGCCTTGAACAGTTGTATATCAGTGAACTGGGTCACTTAGATGGAATGGACAAATTCCTAGAAACACAAAACCTAAGACAAAATCACAAAGAAATAGAAAATCTGAACAGACCTATAACTCATAAGGATATTGAAGAAGTAATAATAATAAAAAAAATCTCCCAACACAGAAGAGCCATGGACCTGAAGTCTTCTCTGGTAAATTCTACCAAACATTTAAAGAAGAACCAATATTTATCCTTCTGAGACATGTTCAAACAATTGGGGAGGAGAGAACACATTCTGACGCATTCTATGAGGCCAGTATTCCCCCGATACCAAGCCAGACGCTACGAGAAAAAACTACAGACCAATATTCCTTGTGAACATAGATGCAAAAATCCTCAACAACACACTAGCAAACCAAATTCAGCAGCATTGTGAAAGGATTATACACCATGACCAAGTGTGATTTTATTCCTGGGATGCAAGATGCTTTAACATGAATATTGATCAATGTCATAAACCATTGAATGAAGGAAAAAAACCCGCATATGATTATCTCAGTGTGGAAAAAGCATGTAACAAAATTCAACACCCTTTTATAATAAAACAATCAACAAGCTAGGTATAGAAGGGAACCTCTCAACACCATAAAGGCTATGTACGAAAAACCCACAGTGAATATCATACTCAGTGGGGAAAGACTTAAAGCTTTTCCTCTAAGATCAGGATTAGGCAAGGAGACTCGCTTTTGCCTCTTTTCTTCAACTAATACTGGAAGTTCTAACTGGAGCAGTTAGGCAAGAAAAAGAAATAAAAAGTATTGGAATAAAACTTGGAAAAGAAGTAAAATTATCTCAATTCACAGATGTATGGTCTTATAGGTAAAAACCCCTAAAGTTTCCATAAAAAAAAAAAACAAAACCAAAACCAACTGTTGGAACTAAAAAAATGAAGTCAGCAGAGTAGCAAGATACAAAGTCAACACACAAAAATCATTTGCATTTCTATACACTAACAATGAGCAATCTGAAAGGGAAATTACAAAGACAGTACCATTTACAACAGCATCAAAAAGAGTAAAATACTTAGGAATTAACCCGGAAAGGGAGAGACTTGTATACGATGAAGCATTTTTGAAAAGAACATTTTCATCATTTGAACATTTTTGAAAGAAATTAAAGAAGACAAATAATTGGGAACACTTTCCATGATCGTGGATTGGACATGTTAACGTGTCAGTACTATCTAAAGCCATCCACAGAGTCAGTGTACTAAGTATCAAAATCCCAAGGACATTTTTTTGCAGAAATAGAAAAACTGATTGTAAAATTCATATGGAATCTCAGGGGACCCTTCATAGCCAAAACAATCTTGAGAAAGAACAGAGCCAGAGGACTCACACTCCCCAATTTCAAAACTTATTATAAAGCCACAGTAATCAGAACACTATGGTATTGGCATAAAGACAGACACAGAGACTAATGGAATAGAATAAAGAACCCAGAGATTACCTTTGCCAGAGGTCAAATGATTTTGCATTTATGGTCAGATGATTTCTGATGAGGGTGCCATCCATTCAATGGGGAAAGGACAGTCTTTTCCACAAATGGTGCTGGGAAATTGGACATCCACGTGCAAAAGAATGAAGTTGTATACCCTTATCTCATACCATATCCAAAAATTAACCCAATATGGATCAAAGACCAGTAAGTAAGACCTAAAAGAATCGTGCTCTTAGAAGAAAACATTAGGGGTAAGATTTCACAGCTTTGGACTTGGCAGTGATTTCTTGGATATGCCAAAGGCACAGGCAACAAAAGGAAAAACAGGCAAATTGGAGTTCCTGAAGATTTTTTTAAAAAATTGCGTGTCAAAAGACACTATCAACAGAGTAAAAAGGCAACTACTGGAAGGGGAGGAAGTATTTGCAAATCATATATCTGATAAGGGATTCATATAAAACAACCTGATTAAAAATGCACAAAGGACTTGAACAGACATTTGTGCAAAGAAGACCTACAAATGGCCATAAGCCCATGAAAAGATGCTCTCCATCACTCATCATTAGCGAAATGCAAATCAAACCCACAATAAGATACCACCTCATCCCTGTTAGGATGGCCACTTGAAAAAATAAGTGTGGGCTACAGAGAGTGCGGTCAGCCTGGCTCTCTATTTATTCACTTCTTTTGACATGTCCCATTCCTCTCTGAGCGCTCTCTTACTTTGCGTAGGAGGAGATTTCAGGCTCCTTCAGGAGATTTCAGGTGCCTTCCGTGCCCAAGCCCTAGCGTCAATGTCTCTAGGGAGGCTGGTTCTATAGGTTGGGGACGGGCATTTGGAAACCAAACCTGGGCCCCGCCCCTGCATCCCAGGAAGCTCTGCTGTCTTTGCAGCCCTGCCACCTGTACTCCAAGCCCTGCCCTCCCACAGCTTCGCACCCCCAGGCTCCACCCCAGCCCTGCCCGTCTAACAGCTTCTGGACGGACTGTTGAGGGAGGGGAGGAAATCAGCTGAGGATCTGTTAATTCCTTCTTGTAGTTTGGCTTCACATACTTCTTTGAAAATGTTACTTAGCAGTTCATAGACTTAAGCTTTGTCTCTCATTCCTAGGGAATTGTTCCCTTTGCTACCGACCAAGGGCATTCATCATCCCCGATAAGACTCTGCCTCAAAGGCAGTTTGACCTGGTATCGAAATTGCAGCATCACGCTATAGTGTATTTTCCCCACCCCCTTCCTTACTCCTTGCTTCCCTATATTTTAGGTGCGTCTCTTGTAAATAGCAGGTGGCTGCAGTGTTTTCTCTAAGAAATCGGTCTTATAGTTGATAAGCCAAGTATGGTTCTGTGAACTGTAATTACTGGTATGTCAGCCCCAAGTTGACCCCTCTTGTCTGCGTTTTCTATTTACCACATCCCATGCCACCGGCACATCCTCCCACCCCCTTCCTTCCGGTGGATGGTGCTCCCCCATCTCCCTTGCTCTCTCTGCTCCACTATTATGTAGTTTATACATTCGACTTCTCAGTGCCACAATCTGATAAAACAGAGGACATTTATTATAGAAGGAGACTAGTGGAATAACAACCTCTTCCTGGCAGTGAATGATCACTCAGTTACCCCGAGCCTGGGGTGACCACGCCCCCCCCCCCCCCCCCCCCCCCGCCGTACGCTTGGGGAAGATGGGATGGACATGTGTGGCCAGGCTCAGCCTCAACAAGCCTCTCCCACCAGGCGCGCCCCCTCCACATGCCAAGGACATAGAAATCGTTCTTCTGCCTCCCATGGAGTCAGTCCTGGAGGCTGAGATAGGCTGGGGGTGGGGGTGGGGATGGGGACGAGCATACTTCATCCTGTCTCTGTCATAATCTCCCTGGGGGAGAAGAAACAGATGGCTCAGGGGCCAGATCCTGATAAAATGGAGAATTAATTTTTTTTTTAAAGATTTTATTTATTTATTCATGAGAGATAGAGAGGCAGAGGCAGAGGGAGAAGCAGGCTCCCCACAGAGCGGGGAGCCCGATGCGGGACTCGATCCCAGGACCCTGGGATCATGACCTGAGCTGAAGGCAGACGCTTAACTGACTGAGCCACCCAGGTGTCCCGGGAGAATTAGTTTTTTTAAAAAAATATTTTGTTTATTTGTCAGAGACAGAGCGCGAGTGCACAAGCAGGGGGAGCGGCTGGCAGAGGGCGAAGCACACTCCCCGCTGAGCAGGGAGCCTGATACAGGACTCGATCCCAGGACCCTGAGATCATGACCTGAGCTGAAGGCAGACACCTAACAACTGAGCCACCCAGGTGCCCCACGAAGAATTTAAAGAAATTCATTTTAAAGGAAGTTATTGGTAAAGAAAAAATAGTATCATTTAGTGAGAAGAGTGCACAGCAGCTGGTAGTAAAATGTATGTTTATTCTTGGTGATGGAATCTTGCTTTTAGCCAGGCACGTTGCTGCCCAGCCAGAGGACTGCATTTTCCAAACATGAGAGGAAATGTGTTCTCTCTTCCTTCCTGGCATGCAGACATATGGCTGGTGTTCCAGCAGCCATCTTGGCCCATGAGGCACTGCACAAGGATGGCAGAGCAGGAAGATGCTTATTTAATAAATATGTATCTGGGCCACCTGGGTGGCTCAGTCAGTTAAGCATCTGACTCTTGATCTCAGCTCAGGTCTTGATCTCAGGGCTGTGAGTTCAAGCTCCATGTTGGGCCTGCTTAAAATAAAAATAAAAATAAAAAAAATACATGCATAAGTATATGTATCTTATTATGGGGTCTGCTGTTCTCTGGACCACTTCCTCCCAGCCCCAAGTAGCTCACTGAGCCACAGAGAGGAGCATGGCAGGTGCGTACTGCCCCCCCGCCCCATCCACTGTCTCTCTCCATACCACCTTCTGTCTCCATCTTTTCTGCTCCAGCTCATCTTCAGATGGGAAACTTAAGTTCGTCTTATACTTATGTTCATCGTACATTTCTTCTCTTGCCTGATCTCTGCCTGAAGCTCCTCTTGCAGCTTGCCCACTTCTTCCATTTACCAGTTGGGAGACAGAAATAAAATCTTAAAAGCACACACAGAGAAAAGCTAACTGTTCTCTATGGCAGCTAGGGGCTAACAGCTGACATCTCAGCAGCAATGAAGACAGCTGGAATGTAGTGGAATAATCAAAATGCAAACTGAGGATTGGTAATCTTGGCTAAATGATCGTTCATAAATGAAATGCAGACATTTTCAAACAAGCAAAACCAAAGGGGGCTCACCAGGACAGGAACTGTATGTAAGCCAGAGCAAGAAAGCTACGATGCAAAAGGGAAGGTGGGCAAAGTGGAAAAAGTGGGTGAATAGGAATGTGTTGACTGTAATATGAAGATAAAAGTGAACCATCGTTACAGCAAGGGTAGACCCCAAATCCTGGGCCACAGGAAGGCACACAGCACGGGCGGTTGGAGGAAAGACCTGCAGCTGTTTGCGTGCTGCAGGACTGCAAGCTGGTGACTTCACGTGTGCTTGATCTAAGCAGACAGTTAAAAATGTAAGGGGTCCCGGGGCGCCTGGGTGGCTCAGTCGTTAAGGGTCTGCCTTCGGCTCAGGTCATGGTCCCAGGGTCCTGGGATCGAGCCCCGCATCGGGCTCCCTGCTCTGCGGGAAGCCTGCTTCTCCCTCTCCCACCCCCCCTGCTTGTGTTCCCTCTCTCGCTGTGTCTCTCTCTGTCAAATAAATAAATTAACTCTTTAAAAAAAAAAAATGTAAGGGGTCCCACTGAAAAACTACAAAGAGAATAAATGTATGACTCTCAAATAGTAGACGAATGGGAGAGAAAAAATTTTAATCCAGAAAATGAGGGAAGAACATGTAGAGAAAGCCCCCTGCCAGCAGGTGGTGGGAAGAGCTTTGAGGGTCTCTGGGCACTGGACCCGCGGATGTTCTATTCTTGTCTTGGGACTAGTAATGGGGATCTGTGGGTGCTGGACCAGCCGATGCTCTGTTCTCCTCCAGTCTTGGGACTAGTGAGAGGGGTCCAAGGGCCCCAGGCCCAGCAGATGATGCTCTGTTCTCCTCCAGTGTCAGCACTACTGAGGGGGGTCCGTGGGCTCTGTGCTCAGCGGATGCTCTGTTCTCCTGCAGTCTTGGGACTAGTGATGGGGGTCCATTTGCATTGAGCTCAGAGGATGGTCTGTTCTCCAGGCTTGGGATTAGTGACGCAGGTCTGTGGGCCCTAGGCCCAGAGGATGCTCTATTCTCCTGCAGACTTAGGACTAGTGATGGGGGTCCATTTGCACCGGGCTCAGAGGATGCTCTGTTCTCCTGCAGACTTAAGACTAGTGACGGGAGTCCATTTGCACCAGGCCCAGAGGATGCTCTGTTCTCCTGCAGACTTAGGACTAGTGACGGGGGTCCATTTGCACTGGGCTCAGAAGATGTTCTGTTCTCCTGCAGACTTAGGACAGTGATGGGGGTCCATTTGCACCAGGCTCAGAAGATGCTCTGTTCTCCTGCAGACTTAGGACTAGTGATGGGGGTTCATTTGCACCAGGCCCAGAGGATGCTCTGTTCTCCTGCAGACTTAGGACTAGTGACGGGGGTCCATTTGCACTGGGCTCAGAGGATGCTCTGTTCTCCTGCAGACTTAGGACTAGTGATGGGAGTCCATTTGCACCAGGCCCAGAGGATGCTCTGTTCTCCTGCAGACTTAGGACTAGTGATGGGAGTCCATTTGCACCAGGCCCAGAGGATGCTCTGTTCTCCTGCAGACTTAGGACTAGTGACGGGGGTCCATTTGCACTGGGCTCAGAAGATGTTCTGTTCTCCTGCAGACTTAGGACTAGTGATGGGGGTTCATTTGTACCGGGCTCAGAGGATGCTCTGTTCTCCTGCAGACTTAGGACTAGTGATGGGGGTCCATTTGCACCGGGCTCAGGGGATGCTCTGTTCTCCTGCAGACTTACGACTAGTGACGGAAGTCCGTTTGCACTGGGCCCAGAGGATACTCTGTTCTCCTGCAGACTTAGGACTAATGATGGGAGTCCATTTGCACCGGGCCCAGCAGATGCTCTGTTCTCTCGCAGTCTTGAGACTAGTGATGAGGGTTCATTTGCACCAGGCTCAGAGGATGCTCTGTTCTGCAGACTTAGGACTAGTGATGGGGGTCCATCTGTACTGGGCTCAGAAGTTGCTGTATTCTGCAGACTTAGGACTAGTGATGGGAGTCCATTTGCACTGAGCTCAGAGGATGCTCTGTTCTCCTGCAGACTTAGGACTAGTGATGGGGGTCCATTTGCACCGGGCTCAGAAGATGCTCTGTTCTGCAGACTTAGGACTAGTGATGGGGGTCCACTTGCACCAGGCTCAGAGGATGCTCTGTTCTCCTGCAGACTTAGGACTAGTGATGGGGGTTCATTTGCACCAGGCTCAGAAGATGCTCTGTTCTGCAGACTTAGGACTAGTGATGGGGGTCCATCTGCACTGGGCTCAGAGGATGCTCTGTTCTCCTGCAGACTTGGGACTAGTGATGGGGGTTCATTTGCACCGGGCTCAGAAGATGCTCTGTTCTGCAGACTTAGAACTAGTGATGGGGGTCCATCTGCACTGGGCTCAGAGGATGCTCTGTTCTCCTGGAGACTTAGGACTAGTGACGGGAGTCCATTTGCACTGGGCCCAGCAGATGCTCTGTTCTCTTGCAGTCTTGGGACTAGTGATGGGGGTCCATTTATACCGGGCTCAGAGGATGCTCTGTTCTCCTCCAATTTGGGGACTAGACATGATGGGGGTTGGTTGGCGCTGGGCCCAGTGGATGCTCTGTTCCCTGCCAGTGTTAGGCCATGCGGAGGGCCCTGAGGCCGCAGCTGGAGATGGGGTGGAGGTGGCGTTGGTCCCTTCTGCCTCCTGCAATGATATAAGCTGTGTCATGAGTCTCTGTGTTTTTGTCTCAACTAGATTGAGTCTTGAAAGCAGAGACATATTAAAAAAGTGTATTCATATAAATCATCCCTCAAAGAGTGCCCTTGAATGGCATTCGGTGTACTCAGTGCTGTGCTAGCCCAGTATGTGTGGGGAAGGTAAAGTACACACTGGGTTTTGAAAGCTTAGTACGGAAAAAAGAATGTAAAATGTCATTAATAATTTTTTTAAAATTTTTTTAAAAGATTTTATTTATGTATTTGAGACAGAGAGAATGAGAGAGAGAGCACATGAGAGGGGGGAGGTTCGGGAGGGTCAGAGGGAGAAGCACACTCCCTGCCGAGCAGGGAGCCCGATGCGGGACTCGATCCCAGGACTCCAGGATCATGACCTGAGCCGAAGGCAGTCGCTTAACCAACTGAGCCACCCAGGCACCCATCATTAATAATTTTTATATTGACGTTATGTTTTCTTACTGAGATAATTTACATAACATAAAATTCACCATTTCAATGTGTATAAGTTCAGTAGTTTTTAGTACCTTCATTTCGTTGTACAGCCCTCACTACTAATTCCAGAACGTTTCCATCGCCCCATGAGGAAACCCACACTTGCTCAGCAGTCACTCCGGTCCCCCGCCCCCAGTCCCAGACCCGTCAGTCTGCTTTCTGTCTCTGCGTGAAAGTGAGCTTCTGTTTGACTCAGTCTTCTTCACTTCTGACACCAAGTATGTGGGGTTCCACACCAAACAGCTCTCCAGGCTTGACACCATGGCTCATCCTACAGTTCAGTTCAAGGCCGGCACTGACCGGGGCTCAGCCCCACAGGACCGCCCCCTCAGGTGTTGGGCGCAAGTGGTCTGTCCCGGGTTCCCACGCTTTGTCTGATTTGGCTACAAATTGGGGGTTTCCTCAACTCTCTCCTTGTGTTTTTATTTTGCTAGAATGACCCCCAGAACTCAGTTTATTGTGACACCGATGAGCAGCCAGATGAAAAGGTACCTGGACAAGGCCCAGAAGTCCTGAGTGCAGGAGCTTCAGTCCCCACAGTGTTGGGGTGTGTCTCCCTCCAGCAGGGAGTCCCCATGGTGTTGGGGTGCATCACCCTCCAGCAAGGGGTCCCTACGGTGTTGGGGTGCACCACCTTCCAGCAGCGGGTCCCTACAATGTCGGGGTGACCACCCTCCATCAGGGGGGGTGTGTTCAGCAACCTGGAAGCTCTCTGAACTTCAGCTGGAGTTTTTATGGGAGCCTCCCTACATGGGCGCTGTTGATCAAATCATGGGCCATTTGTGGTTAACTTGCTTAACCCTGAAGGACAGCTGGATGTGATTCTTACTCCTCTTTCCAGCCCCGCAGCTGAACCAGGAGGTTAACAAAGGATAGGTCCTGAATTTGGACCCAGTTATTTGGCTTTAGAGGCAAAGCCCAGAGTCCCTGCTGGTCCAGGGGAAATCGCTGTCCCGTGGCTGCGCCTGGGAGCCTGCCCCCCCTCCCCCGGCCCCAGGCCCCTTCCCACTTGGAACCAGCAATGTCCCAAGGAGGTCATTTCAAGGACATGTGAAGAAACGCATTTCCAGGCCCTTCCTGAGGCGGCGGGATGATTGGATCTCTGTCTCCTGAGAAGCACTTTCTTGTCAGCGGCGGTCAGACGTGATCAGAGGACTAATTCCCATTAAATTGTCAATGATGCCTCAACTCGCCACTTCTTTTTAACCATGAAAAAGTTTCCAATCCAATAATTTCCTATTCTTCTTCCAAGTGTCCTTGCTTCTAACTATGCACTCAAAGCAGGATCAGGCAATGCTCTTTTCCCTCCCCTGGGGTTTTCACTTTCCATCTCCTGGAAGGCATTAGAGGTGCTTTCAGTTTTTTGTGTGGATTGGGAGTCGCCCCTGGAAGCATCATCCTTCCTCTCATTTTGCATTTGAATCACGGACACTTCCCTAAATGAATTCCTGATGGAGGAATGAAAATAAAGAATTTTCTGTGGGGAGACTTAGTGGCAGGCAGAACGTGGCGTGTGATCCTCGGGTCAGGTGGGGGTGGCACTTCCTGTTGGGGAGCAGGCTGCAGGAACGTGCAGAGCAAATCCTCCAGAGCGGACGTAGAAAGCACCTTCTCATCCAGTGCTGGCAGCAGAGAAAATGGAGAGCCCCAGGGAAGGAAAGGCAAGTGGAGTGAGCATGTGCACGTGTGCACGCATGTGCCTGGGTGTGCACCTGCACCGACGTATGTGTGCGTGTGAGGCTGTGCACACCTGCCTGGGTGTGCACACATGCGTGCGTGTTTGCAGTGTCTGGACCCTTGGCTGGGAAGGAAATGCTCACAACAGTCACTCTCAGTTCCGGAGAACTTGGATGCTTTGGAGGAACAGCCCCAGAGAGCGGCCGGGGAGGCTTCGGAGCGCCCATGCTTGCTCCTTCCTGCCACGTGGGTGTCTCCCTCGGCAAGACTCCCGCTCTGCCCCGGCTGTCCAGACGGCACCTTCAGTCTCTGGTGTGCAAGGGACCCATTTCCATGCATTTCTTGAGAACACGCTCTCTCTCCTGAACTCCCGTGATCTTCCTCCTTGGGTTTCATTTCTTCTTTTCCAGAGGACATAAACTACATTTCACCGGGCGTGAGTATCATGCAGTGGAGGTGGTGCTCCAGCCCTTGGGACTGCCCTGAGTCTGGTGGAGAACCCACCAGCCCTGCCCGGAAGCCCCAGGGTCCTTCGCGGACACGCCCATCCCATCGAGGTGCTTCTGCTTGAACCACTCTTTGCACTTGAGCAGTCACTAAAAGCCAGTTCTCTGAAGAGCCAGTTTGCCAAGTGACCAGCTCCCTGAATTTATTGTTTCTTTGAACTAATTCACTTTAGCTGAGCAGTTTTCAGTGTGTGTTCATATCCATATATTCAGACTGCTCTCCCTTGTCTCTGCCTCAGTACCCTGGAGATGGAGGGACAGGGCCGGCGGGGGCGGGTTGGGAAGGCACTGGGGAGCACATTTCCTACATATAACATTGACTACAAACAGTTATAATCAGCCAGTTCTTTATTAGAATAATCGTCATAAACAACTTTCTTATTGAAGAATAGATTCTTACGGATTTATTCCTCCACTTTTTCCACCTGAAGAATCTTTCCATCTGAGAAAGAGGTTGCTGGCTGCCTGGCAAATGTCCACACTCCCTTTTACCTTAAACAGAAGCCCCCTCTTTGGTGGGGGCATCACTGTGCTCAGTAAACAAAGCACGTCTCCCTGAAGGCAGGTAGGGCTAGAGGGATGTAAGCAAATGTGTCTGGATGGATCCTTATTTTCAAAGTCCTGTAAAGGGACTCCCCTGGGAGGCATGCTCTTTGCCCTTTTTGCTTAACTTCTCTACCTGGAATGTGCTCACAGTGGTGGGTTCTGCAGTGGCCGTATTGGGACATGAGATGATCCCAATGATGAATGCTCAGAGACCAAATATACAAATGGGCAGTGGCCAGACCATGTATAAAAATAGAACTCTAGGGGCACCTGGGTGGCTCAGTCGGTTAAGCGTCTGCCTTTGGCTCAGGTCATGATCCCAAGGTCCTGGGATTGAGCCCCACATCCGGCTCCCTGCTCCTCAGGGAAGCCTGCTTCTTGCTCTCCCTCTGCCGCTCCCTTTACTTGTGCTCTCTGTCAAATAAATAAAATCTAAAAAAATAAAAATAGAACTCTGACCCCACAGGCTGCAGCCCAGGAAGCCAACCAGTTATCTGCGGTAACCAGCCCTATAAGTCAGATGTGTAGGAATTCAGACTACTATCTCTCATAACCAGTTCAGGAAGACAAATGATAAGCCCTGTAACAATGGGCCCCAAATGTCTATGACTTGATTAATAACTGACCGCTTCTCTGATTTTTGTCCTTGCTGTAACCTAGGACCAGCCAGAGGAAGCCAGATACGTATCCCTAATGAATCATGTGGTTGACCCACTTCTAGTTAGCCACCCACGGGCCACAGCCTCCTTCCAGGGCATGCCTGGAGCCTCCCTGTTCTCACAAGGAAGCTTCCCCACTCCACTGCCTGCCTGTGAGTTTCCACCAGACGCAGATGACCCCCTTGCTGTAGCAAGCTCTGAATAAATAGCCTTTGCCCTTCTCCTTTAGGTTTCATTTATTTCCTTGCTGCCAGGTGTTAAGGATGGTGAAGCAGAAACACAAAAGGACCCGGAGCTCTGATCAAAGGGCAGCTGATCTAGCCTAGGACTGTGTTGGGGAAATAAGATTAAGGGCAAAATCTCCTCCCAATCCAGAAGACTTCTCCACAAATACAGAGGAGAGAGAAAGCAAGTGTATTACTGAACGAGCATTTGGCTGGAATGTGGCTTGCATCCTAGGCAACGTGCTAAAGAGACTGCAGACAGAAAGGGATCTTAATCCTGTACATAGCTAAGCAGATACGACCCAAGCAGATACGACCCAGTATCGTGCATCTGAGGTGAAACTGCCCGATTTTTCATAACTTTATGAGCGGAGGCTTGCATTTGCAGTCAGGTGCTTGCAGAAGTTACACCCTCTACTCCCAGGGGCTGAGAGACGGGGCATTGCCTTCCCTGATGATCATATTTCATAGGCACGCTCCCTAGCCCCTGAGGTGGGAGACCTGCAAGAGGCTTATTTCGCTTTCTGTCTACAACTGCCTGTCTCCAGTCTTCTCAACATAAGAGAAAATAAGCCTCGATCATGTTTAAGCCACTCTCATTTTTTTTTTTTTTTAATAATTATCAGCCAAACACAATATCCAATGAAAACACAGTTTGGTGGGATTTTTCCCCAAGTCTGGAAAGTTCTCTCATCTTGAACATTGCCACCCTCTTTGTTCTCTCCTTCTCTGAGGCTCTCCTTCTGTCTTCCTTCTCTAAAATTTTCTCTAATATTGTTCATCATTGATCTCCCCCTGCTATACATCTAGCTTCCAGTTCTTTAATTCTCTCTTCCACTGTGTCCGGTCTACTGTGTAATCCTTATGTAAAGTTTTTTATTTTAATGAATTATAATAGATCTGTTTAACATTTTTGTTGGCTTTTTAAAAAATTCTGCTTCTTTAAAAAAAAATGATTACCTGTTTTCTGTGTTAAATGCTGTTCCTCATCCATATGCTTAAAAGAGACCACTTCAGATATGAAGACATACATAGTTAAAGGTAAAAGATACATTGTATAGACACAAGTGAGAAATGTAGCTGGAGTGGCAGGATTGATATTGATTGAATATCAGACAAGGCCAATGTCAGTGCAAGGACTGTTGCCAGGGATAGAGATGAAGGGGTCAAGTGATCGAGAGGACATCAAAATCCTAAATGTGTATGTCCTGACATCAGAACTTCAAAATACATGAGGAAAATCCTGGAAGAACGGAGTGTTGAAGTAAACGTGTGCCCAGCTGCGGCTGGGGACTTGGGCGCTGCTTCTCGGTAATCACTAGAGCCAGCGGATGGCCGTCCCCGGGCCTGGAGAGCCGCACGCCCCATTTCCTGCAGGCCTTCGTGTGGTCAGGAGCTGGTCGCCCGGCCTGTTTGAGTTTGTTGTCACCAGGGTCACCTCTGTGCAGTCTTCAGGCCCCTCCGACTGCAGCTGCAGTGGCCTCACCATTACAGTGGGGTACGGGGCTGGAGGGGAGGGTCTTTTGCAGGGTTCCTGGGCCCCCTCAGCTTTTGGCTGTCCCTATAGGATGGCCCCATGGAGGGAGTCCCTGTTCAGGCTCTCAAGCCTCCTGAGACCCTGGCGGTCTGCTTATGCCCCAGGGGTGTGACTGACTGATACCGTTCCGTCAGCTAAAGGTTTTTGCTTGTGAGAGTCTGGGAAGCATGTGGGGCCTGAGGAGCCACTGATCACCCCAAGCACACCTGTGTCACCCAGAGGGCTCCCTGTACAGGACTCTGATCTATTTCCAACTGCCATAGTGATCAGCCTGTCAGAACTTCTCAAGATTTACCTGAATCTTTCTTGTCCATCTGTGTGGTGGTCACATCTTTCTTCTGTGTCCCATCAAAGACAAAACAGTTCGTGCCCTTTCTTTCTCTCTCTCTCCTTGAAGGGCCTCATTCCTTTTTGGAATTCAGTTTACTTTGTTCCTTTGTGACTCATCATCTGACTTTCACCATTGCTAGCGTGGGAGGGATGTTCTTTGCAGCTTTTGGCATTCTGAGTGGAAATGCAAGTCTCTTAGGTATTTTATTGCAGCCCAAAGCTAACTGTTTTACTCTGTGAGTTCATCTTTGGTGGGAATTTCCACTGTAGGAGCCCAGGGTAATAGCAGTATCCCTCTGAGATATGTATCATATCATGAGGCCAAAGCAGGAAAGAGATGGCACAGAAAACTGGGTCACTGCGGAAAGTGACAACATGGGGGGGCAGGGTTAGAGAACCTAGTATCCTATGGCTCACAAGAACAGGTGCTGTGGCATCTGGAAGGGTAAGGTCTGCAAGGCTGAGGGAGGAAACTTTCTGGGGTCCAGGGAGGGTGGCCTCATGGAGAGGACTGGCAGCAGCTGTGGCCCTCAGTGAAAGATCTCAGCCAGTTTGTGGCTAGACAGAAAACAAGGGAGGATATAAAAGAACTCAACACTACTACCGACCAAGAGGACCTAATCAGCATTCATAGACAGCTTCCCCCAACAAGAGCACAGAACACATGCTTCTGAAATGTTCATGGAACATATCCCAAGGTAGATGACATCATGAGCCATTAAACACACCTCAACAAATTAGAACTGAAATCATGCAGAGTGTGTTCTTGGACCACAGCACAATCAAATGAGACATCAGTAACAAAGCTAACAGGAAAATCTCCAAACAATTGGAACTAATCAGCACACTGCCAAAGAACGCATGGATCAAAAGGAAGTCTCAAGAGAAATAAAAAATACATGGATTGAATGAAAGTGAAAATACAACACATCAAAGCAGGGTCAAGAGAGAAATTTATAGCACTAAATCCTTACATTAGAAGAGAGGGAAAATCTCAGTAGTCTGGGCTCCACCCTCAACAAAAAGAAGAGCAAAATAAACCCAAAACAAGCAGAAGGAAGGAGACAATAAAGAGATGAAATCAATTAAACTGAAAACAATAGAGGAGGTCAATAGAACAAAGCTGGTTCTTTAAAAGGATCACCAAACCTCTAGCAGATACCAGAATCAGGAACAAAAGTGGGGACATCACTACAGACCCCACGGAATGAGAAGGATCATTAGGGGGCACTTCAAACAACTCCACATACACAGATTTTACAACTCGTATGAAATGGACCACTTCTTTGAAAAGCACAAACTAGCAAACTCACCCATTATGAAATATATACTATGAATAGCTATGTAACTATTAAGGAAATTGAATCAGTAATTAAAATATCCCCCCCCCCCCGCCAAATTCCCAGACCCAGATGTTTTCATTGAAGAATTCTTCCAGGCTTTTAACCAACTGAGCCACCCAGGCGCCCTCTTCTTCCAGGCTTTTAAAGAAGGATGAACACCAATTCTACACAATCCCCAGCAGAAAATGGACAATAAGGAAGCTCTTCCCAATTCATTTTATGAAGTTGGTGTCACCCAGACAACAAAAACCAGACAGCACAAAACAGGAAAACTACAGACCAATATCCCTTAGAAATATAGATGCAAAAGTTCTTTTTTTAAGTACGTTTTTTTTAAGATTTTATTTATTTATCTATTTGAGAGAGAGAATGAGAGAGCGAGAGAGAGAGCACATGAGAGGGGGGAGGGTCAGAGGGAGAAGCAGACTTCCTGCCGAGCAGGGAGCCCGATGCGGGATTCGATCCCAGGACTCCAGGAACATGACCTGAGCCGAAGGCAGTCGCTTAACCAACTGAGCCACCCAGGCGCCCCGATGCAAAAGTTCTTAACAAAGTATTAGCAAATATAATTCAGCAATATATAAAAAGAACCACTATGACCAAGTGGAGTTTATTCCAAGGATGCAAGGCTGGTTTAATATTCCAAAACGAATCAATATAATCCACCGCTTTAACAGACTACAAAAGAAAAGAATCGTAAGATCATATCAACTGATGTAGAAGAAGCATTTGACCAAAATATAACAGCCATTCTTGATCAAAGCTCTCAGAGAAACAGGAATAGAGAGGAACTTTCTCAAGCTGATAAAGAGCATCTACGGAAATTACACTTAATGCTGAAAGACTGAATGCTTTTTCCCTAAGATCTGGAAAAAGGCAAGCATGTCTTTTCTCACCAATGTCATTCAACATCATTTTGGACATTCTCAATAGTGCAGTAAGACAAGAAAAGGAAAGAGAGATACTTGCACGTGGCGTATCGTGGGCCCCAGTGGCAGCCACAGTGCCACCCTCTTCTGGGACACATAGCAAAGGACAGAACAGGGTGCCTCCTGCACAGCCGGCCCGGCCCGGGAGTGACCCAAGGTAGGGGAGCTGTTACAGCACACCAAGGCTAAGATCACTGAGCGTTCATCTCTGACCAGATGACTGTGGACACCAATGTGAGTGCTCAGACTTGACACCCATGAGCACACCTACAGAGCCCAGCATCTGCCACCTCACTGCGTCCCACCCAAGCCCCAGGAGACCGACCAGGGCAAAAGTGGGGCTGTGTGCATCCCTCACTTGGCCAAGTCAGAGGCCTTCTTCCATGAGGCAGGTGGGCATGAGCCCTGTCCCGTGATCTCACCCTGAAGGGCCTCCATCCAGAACCTGACCCTGGGCCTTGCCAGCAAGCCCTTGGGCCTCCTATAGCCAGGGTCCCTATTGTCACCTTCACAGCCACCTTACCTCAGACAACTCTGGCCATGCCAACCCCCAAGTCCCTTGCCCCACCCCTGATGAACTCCGTGCCACCCCTAGTGCTGCCCTTCCTGCCCCCCAGCACTGAGCCTCTAAGATGGGGAGCTCTGGGGACTCACTTCCCAAGACGAGCGCTTTGGGTGGGGGTAGGGAGGTCTCAGAAGCTCCACTCTTGGAGCTGTCTGCACCACCAGCTCTCCCACACCAACGTGGCTGTTTTCCTGAATTACTGATATAAAACTGACAGACAAAAGTCAACTAACAATGAAAAGAAAAGCCCTCAAGTCACAAATACTTGTACATAGGACTCTTTTGTACAAATGAAACTATTTTCTTTTCTGTGAAGCCGGGACACAAAGAACTTGACAGTACAAGTTGAACCCCCACTCTGCAACATATGTGTGGAGAGATAGATACATAGAGAGGCAAGAACACCTTGACCAGCTGTATCTACATACTTCTCTCACCTTGAGACAGAAGCACAAAAACTCAGCAAGCTCCCCTCCTACTCAGCCTCCCACTGATCTTGGTGGTTTTGACAAAGATCAAAATCCCAACTCAGAGGTACTGCATGTGATTTTACTGTTCCGAGAAAACCAGGAGTTGCTCCACTTCATAGATGCTTATGTGCTAATATCTTTTTCTACGAAAAAGACCCAGTGCCATGTTCAACAAAGGTTATGCTTCTAAAAACAAAAAACAAAGGCAGACAGCTCAGAAGAAAAAATTAAACTGTTGCTGTTTGCTGATGACTTGATTGTCTATGTGGAAAGTCCTAAGGAATCTACAAAAATGACCTAGAACTAGTATGTGAGTTAGTCAAGGTCATAGGATACAAGATTAATATGTAAAAGGTAATTGTATTTTTCTAGACTAACGACACATGGACACTGAAATTAAAAATACAATGCCATTTACAATAACTCAAAAAAGAAATACTTAGGTGCAATCTAACGAAACAGAACTTATGTCCTCAAAACGACAAAGCACCGCTGAAAGAAATACAGAGCTCTCAGTGGAGGGACGCACCATGTTCATGGATGGGAAGATGCCACATAATGAAGATGTTAGTTCTTCCCAAATCGAAATACGTATTTGATGCTACCCCTGTCAGAATCCCGGCAATATGTTATGGGTCCTGACAAGATTACTGTAACATTTATATGGAAACGTAAAGAAACTGGAACAGCTAAACGCTTTGGAAAATGCAGATCACATGAGAAGGTTCAGCCTGTCTTAAGAGATACTGTTACAGTGACAGCAAGGAAGGCTGTGTGACGTGGGTGGAGGGACAGACACAGAGGTCAGCGGCCACAAAGGGAGCACATAAACGTGGCCAGCTGATTGTTGGGAGTGGTGCAGAACCAGTTCACGGGAGGAGGGACAGCCTTGTCCACGAAGAGTGCTGGAGGCCTGGGCATCCGGAGGCAAGAACACGAACCTCAACCTCAGCCTCACACTTTATACAAAAGTTGGATAGTAGATTAAAAGGTAAAACTAAGACTTCTAGAAAAAAAAAAAATCCATAGAAGATCTTCAGGGTCCAGGGCTAGGCACATAGTTCTTAGGCCTGACACCAAAGCCACATTGGTAAGAGAGAACATTGAAAAATCAAACTCTATCAAAATTAAAAATACTTGCTCTGTGAAAAACGCTGGGAAGAGGTTTTCTAAAGATAGGTTAGAGACTGGGAGAAAACCTTTGCAAACCACACGTCTGACAAGAGGAGTCGTATCCGGAAGATACAAAGCACTCTCAAAAGTCAACAGTAAAACAGTAAAAAAACCCCCCAAATAACCCTCCCAACAACCCCCAGATTTGACAGTGGGTGAAAGACAAGAACACACATTTTACCAACGAGGATATCTTCTTTCAACGAGTACTTCTTTCTGGAGGTTCAACATATTAGCCATCATGGAAACGCCAATCAGAGCTCCCCTGGGCTTTTGTTACACACCGGTTGGAATGGCTAAAATCAAAGTGACAGCACTGCGAACTAACGAACATGTGGAGAAACGGCATTGCTGTGGGGACAGGGAAGTGGGCCATTCTGGAAAATGATCTGACAGTTTCTTTTTTTTAAAAAAAGATTTTGTTTATGTATTTGACAGAGAGAGACACAGCGAGAGAGGGAACACAAGCAGGGGGAGTGGGAGAGGGAGAAGCAGGCTTCCCACGGAGCAGGGAGCCCAATGCGGGGCTCGATCCCAGGACCCGGGGATCATGACCTGAGCCAAAGGCAGACGCTTAACGACTGACCCACCCAGGGCCCCCAGATTTGATAGTGTCTTGAAAGAGTAAACATACAGTGGGCCCCATGACCTAGTGATCACCTCCCGCATCCATCCCAGAGAGATGGGAACTCACGTCCACACACAAGCTGTTGGCGAATGTGCATAGCAGCTTTGTTCGTCGTAGCACCAAGCTGGAATCAGCCCCCGTGTCCTTCAGCCGGTAAATGGTTAAACACACCCTGATCTGTCCACACTGTGGAACACTACTTGGCAGCAAAAAGGAACACGTTTCTGATACACGCAACAACCTGGATGAATCTCCAGAGAATGACTCTGTTTGGGAAGAGCCAACCCCCAAAGGTCACACACTTTTGACCCCATTTATATAACATTCAGGAAATCACAAAATTACAGAGATGGAGAAGAGATTAGTGATTGCTGGGGTGGGTGGAAGGACAGCAGGTGAGGCTGTAAGGAGTCGAGCAGCAGGAGGGACCCCCGTGGGGGTGGGGTGCTCCGTACCTGCATGGTGTCACCATCACCATCACCATCCTGGACGGGACCCCACGCTGGAGTCCTGCATGGTGTCACCAATGGGGCTCTGGGCAAAGGGCACATGGGATCATTCTGCAGTCTTTCTTACATGGGAATCTACAATTATTTCAAAATTAAAAGTTTAATGTAAAAATGATCATTTTCTTGGCTATAATGAGACATGTTGAAGAGAAGTTAGTGTGTTAGAGCTCTGCATGCTTCCCAAGCATCCCTGCGCTGTGAGAACGCTCAAACCACACTTTCCAGGCACCTGCTGATCCAGTCCTGCCCTCAGCAGTTCAAGCAGGAGTCAGACCTGACCCTGGGAATAGGAGTCTGACAGGGTCACTGCAGAGAATACAGTTCACTTGTTGACTTTGAATGGTGCTTCCCAAGATTTGGGGACAGTGGGGACGGCCTGTGAGCTGGGAGGGTGTCCTGGGTATGTGGGACGCAGTCTGTGGACGTGTTGGTCACTGAGGCCCCAGCCTTGCTGAGGAGGGTCTCTTGTGTCCAAGTCAGCATGGACTCTCCTGTGGGGAATTTACAAGAACCACAGAGGATCCTGCTGGAGGGGATCATGGAGGCCTGGCCCACTGCCATGGATGCTCCAAGAGGCTCTGGGGTCGTGCCCAGAATCACAGTGAGAAATAACCCAGGAAGGACAGACCCAGTGTGTCACCTGGAGTGGGGGTCTCCAGCTCCCCAAGATGCAGTGCTGGTTAGAAGTGATGGGTTGCACTGGGAGCTGGGATCCTTTGTTGCCCTCCTTGTGGACACAGTCGGTGGTAGTGATGACTCACTGACCAAGCTTTGGTCATTGGGGATGGCACCGCTGATCAACGAAGATGCACGGACCCTTGGGTTTGCATCACTGCACACCTCCCCCAAGGGGCTGCGTGACCCCACCAGCCCCCAGCTCATCAGGCTGTTGTTGGGGGAGGCAGGAGGCCCCACATGGCGTGGACCCAGGCAAACCAGCTTTGTGGCCGTGAGTCTCTGTCCCATTCCCTTATCCCCACCGTGGTTTCTCCACGCTGATGGGACTCCCTCCTTTTGCCCCAGAAATGACCCTTTATGACCAGGAGAAAAGAACCCCCTTCCCCATCTGCAGTAGCACTGACATCCTGCCTTTACCTCGTTCTTTATACACTTTCATTCGTAAACGAGAGCAGATGTATTTTCCTGAAGACAAAATGAGCATCTACTTAGTTGAAATGGTGGACAGTGACCCATCACAGCGGATCAACATAATACGGCAGGGGGCGCCTGGGTGGCTCAGTCGGTTAAGCGTCTGCCTTTGGCTCAGGTCATGATCTTGGGGTGGGGGGGTGGGGGGGTCCCTGCTCAGCAGGGAGCCTGCTTCTCCCTCTCCCTCTGTCCCTCCTCCTGCTTGTGCTCTTTCTCTCTTGCTCTATCTCGAATAAATAAAATCTTAAAAATAATAATGCAGCATGCTATTATTCCACAAGGGATTTTGTGGATTTCTACCAGAGATGGCTGGTCTAATGTGTGGGAGCCACAGCCTGCCTTTACTTCTTGTTTCCAGGCATCCTCAGTCCCAGTGAGAAGCATCAGGATTTCAGAGGGCCCAGGGCCTAGCCAGGGCTGTGAATGACCCCAAAGTATGGCTGCCTTTACCTTTCTGGGGGTGCAGTTTCTCGGACAATAAGCATAAAGAAAAATCTTATCATCACCTGATTGGAGGTGTGGAGCCATGTCTTCTTTGCCTGGTCCAGGCGCCGTGCACAGGGGCTGAGCTCCAGCATTTGCGACCTCTCATCTGTGAGCTGGAACAACCTCTGACCCTCAGGCCATTGGCCAAGCTACCCCATCAAAATATAATATTGCTCATGGTTGTATCTTCTGATTGAACAGACTATACAAACCATTTTATATCCACTTTGCCCAATGTAGCATTATTGTTTTTGTTAAGACTTATTTGAGAGAGAGAGAGAGAGCACGATTGGGAGGGACAGAGGGAGAGGGAGAGAGAATCTGAAACAGACTCCACGCTGAGCACGGAGCCTGACCCTGAGACCATGACCTAAGCCGAAACCAAGAGTCGGACACTTAACCGACTGTGCCACCCAGGTGCCCCAATCCAGCATTACTTAATGAACATTTTTCAATGAAATGAAAATGCCCTTGAAACACATGCCATTTGGCCACAGTGGTATCCACCTTCCTCAGAGTTGCCTGAAAACTCCAACCTCCTCTGAACATCTCAGAAAATTGAGTGACCCTGGTCTCCCACTGCTGGAAAGACCAAATATGACACTCTCTGTGAGCACTCAGAGGCTCAGAATAAAACCTTGCACTCATTTTTAGAATGCTTTTGCTGCAAGGTCAGTGGTTAAAATTCTTTATGTTACATTAGGTACCTCTGATGGCTTGGCACTGTGAGTAACTATGCATAGAATCTGGTGAGACAAAACCAGAGGTAAGGAAAGTGCCTTTTGCCTGCTCGACATGGCTCTGCAAGTTGGTGTAATGCTGTCCCTGACATCCCATGGTTGGGACAGATGCTGCCCAGAGCTAGTGGGAAAGCTGATAACAGAGACCACGAGGCATGTCTGGGCAGCCCTCCAAGGACCACACAGAAGCTTTCAAGAGCTTCTAAGTTGAACCTCTTCAATGGGAGTTGGAAGATCACAGCAACAGAATGTCAAAGTAACTTTTTGGCTGCTCCTCATGGGGGTTTGCGGTGTGCCTTCACTCCTGAAATCGCGTGGGTAGAGGAGGAGGGGGTTAAAACGGGCAGCCAGAGGACCCTGGGGCAAGGCTGCCAGTGGTGTGTTTAGACTGTGGGCTTCCTCACTCCAATAGATGGCAAAATGCACGTCCCTCTGTCGTGAAGTCTGTCCCTGCCCCCCTTAAGTCTGGACTTGACCAAATGATTTGCTGTGGCCAGTGGGACATAATGTAATAGCTGCGTGCACGCCAAGGCATGACAAGTGCTTGAGCATTGGGGCTTATGCTCTTCTGCTGCTGGGACCACTTTGCCACCATGAGCAGGAACCACATTAGTCTGCCGCACGGTGACAAATATGCACACAGCTGACTTCAAACAACTCCAGACACGTGGCCAACGCCATTTAGACCAATCAGCTCCAGCTGAGCAGGGTCAGACTAAGAGTGCCCAGTCAACCTGCAAACCCATGAGAAGTAATAAGCAACGTTGTTTCAAGTTGCTAAGTTTCAGGGTGGTTTGTTACGCAGCAGGAGCTGAGACACTCCCCATTCAGCCCGATGCGGGAAGGCAGCAAACATTGCAGGTTTGAGTTTGCCTGAGCAGATGGTCACACTGTGTCTTCCTGGGTCTGTACCTTCCTGTCAACCTTCCCTTCTGACTCCTTTCTGCCACCTGTGCCCTGGGAGTCCCTCTGGGCCTCCCAGAGAGACCCTGCTGGCCCAAGTCTGCTGATCTCCCACCTCACGGGTACCTGCCCTCTGCCTCCCTCAGAGCCTGGCTTGTTTGAGGAAGACCTGCCAAGAGAAATCATCCCAGAGAGCTGAGCCATGACCCTGCCCAGGACAGGGGGTACACGTCAGTAATGGCCATGGGACATTGATGCTTCCACCCTTGGGGAGAGAGGCAGGCTCCTGGGGGGACCTGCTGCTGATGCAGAGCTGAGAGCCAGACATCATGCCGAGCGCTCAGCACGCGTGTGTGTAACCGCACAATGGAAGAGGCAGAGATAGATGGGAAAGCTGACCGGGTGGTCGGTGTAGGGGGTTGAACTGTGTCCCCCCACCAAAGATCATGACCACTTGCACCTGTGAAGGTGAACTTGTTTGGAAATAGGGTCTTTGCAGCTATAATAAAGTTAGGATGAGATCGCCCGGAGGTAAGCTGGACCTGGATCCAGTGACTGGTGTCCCCACAGCAGAAGGACATTTGGACACAGAGACACGCAGGGAGGAGGCCACGTGACCGCAGAGGCAGAGATTGGGGCGATGCAGCCACAAGCCCAGGACCGCCAAGGACCGCTGGTAGCCACCAGAATCAGGAAGAGGAGAGGAAGGATCCAGAGTGCAGCCCGGCCCACACCTTGGTTTTGGACCTTTTGCCTCCTGAACCGCGACAGAATCTCTGTAGTTTATGTTGGTGGCTGCCACAGGACACTCATGCAGAAAGCGGGGAGTGCTCGCAGGCGGTCAGGAGAGAAGCCCAGAAGGTTCAAGCGCAGTCTTGCCAGGCTCTTTGCAGAACAGGTGGCCTCTGGATGACCCTCCCTGGAGACTGCAGATGCTGGACCAGCACAGGAGGGAAGGAGCAGTCCCGGCTGGATGTTAGCGGCTGGGCTGCTGAAGGCGGAGGCTGGCTTGGCAGGCCTCCCCGGGTTTCCATTCAGGGTGGACGGGCCTGTCCAAGGTGGGTGGGTGATATATAAACAGAAGGAACAGTTCTGTGTGATGCCTTCCAACCGGGAAACCGTGGTCGGCACGCGGCACGTATCCAGCCGGCGGCAAGCAGGCGTTTCCAGAGTGGTGGCCGCTGAGTGTGTGTGGCCGGCCACTTCCTGTGGGTCGACCAGCACCCAGCGGACGCACATCAGTAGTTCAACGGGCGACTCTGGGCCTCCGCCAGCAGCACCGCGAACACACAGGCCGGTCAGCCAGCCACATTTGCTTCTATGGCCTTCTGTTACGTTCCAATTGGCACGCCCAGTGCATTTCGAGTTTTCTGTAAAATAACTGTCAAGGAAAGCAGCCGAAATCAGTCCAGAGTTCTCCCTGCCATGACTAGTCTCTGGATGCTGCAAGATACTTTCTTGCCCCATCTGGCTGCCGCGTCTTTCTCCCCAACACCTGTCCCTTTTCCCTTAACGCAGCCCAAAGGTTCCTTTGCGCATTGGGTCTGCAAACCAAGCCAGGCATGAAAACTCGCTTCTTTCCATCTTTTCAATGTCCGTTCTCAGCTGGGAGCAAGGCCAGGTGCATAATAGGCACACATATGCTTATAAATGTGCGCGCACACGCAGCCTCACATGACTACGCACACCTGCAAGAGTATCCCTGTCCCCCACCGTGAGCGTGCGCACACACATTTTGCAGTGTGATTTTTTCCCCTCTTACATGATTCTGTAGGTTAGTGACCACACAGACTCATTCATTCAATCGGCCAGTGTCTGAGTTCCTAGTACGTACATCACCAGTGCTGCCCCTGAGGTGTGCGCGGTCCTGGGAGATCGTTTTGTGTAGGGTGTCTGTCTATGAACAGCTCGAGTCACTCCAGCCCAGCTTCTGGGCTGTTGGGATTTCACTGGCAGCCAGGCTTCCTCCTGTGCGTTTAAGCCAGGGAAGGCTAGCACACAACAGGGCTGGGTCACCACTGGTCAAGCTCAGTCGGTGGTGACCGCAGGTGGACAACCCCCCTTGTTGTCACAAGTGACCGCCTCAGTGGCCCCTCGGACCCCACCTCCCTCTCTTCCTGATGACATGGGGTGTCTCCCTCACTGGCCTCTGGCCTCTGCATGTGGCCATTCTGCACAGACACATTCCAGAAGGCCTGCCGCCCAGGCCCTGCCTTGCCCCTGTCTCGATGCACCACCTGGCAGCCCTGTCCGCAGCCCCCAGCCTCACAAGCCCACCACCTGTCCTGGCTGTGGGGCCTCCCGTCACACCGAGGCCCTGATGTGGGTGCTGCGTCATCAGATCTTCACCTGGCTCGCTGCATTCATCAGCCAACAGGACACAGGGCCGGCGGCGAGGCTGGGAAAACTTGCTGAGGACACGGGGGGCGCTGTGTGAGTCCCTAACGTCCTCACCCGGCTCCTCTTAGCTACTGATCGAAAATAGCTCCCCAAATCCAGAGCGACAATTTTATCCGCCCCTTAGAGAGACTACAGTTAAATTCTTGTGATTTAAACTTTAAAAACTCTCCTATGGTGATATTGGAAAAGCAGTGAGCCAGAGCAGAGCCTCTTGTCTAGCGCATCAGCCCGACACATTGGTCCTCGTCAGCCCTTCCCGCAGTGGGACCCACAGCTGCCTGTGGAGCGAGAACGGAGTCGGGCATTTCCTGGGGGGGGGGGGGACGCGGGGGGGCAGCTCCGTGACCCCTGTCCACGAGGAGCGGTTCCTCCTCTGTACCAGAGGCCATTGGACGCCAGTGGCTGTTGATTGGAGATTAAGTATTTTGTATGTTTAGTGTTCATTCAAGCATCACGTGGAATTGATTTTCCGATGTGATTTGGTTAAAGATGCCAGCAAGGGACTGTCACGTTGGCTTTGGATGGTACGACGGGAGGAAGCTGCAGAAGGTGCCTGTGGTCAGACACAGGACAGGCAGTGTGGAGGCGTCGGGCCCTGGGGTCCCCATCCCAGGTGAGAGTGACAGACATTCTCCTTTTGTCTCTCCTCACTCTCGAGGTCAGTGCTGGAGGCTGTGCTGGCCTTTTGCTCGGCAGGGGGAGAAACGGGGGGGGGGGGCTGTGTCCCAAGGCAGCACCTCTCCAGTGCCTAGCTGGTGCGTGACATTTAGGAGCGAGATGTGTGGGGTCTCTCGGGTCCAATTTTTGACACATGCATCACTCCTTCAATTGCTAGAAATCTCGGGGGAGAAAAACAATGGAGAACAGCATGTTCTTGTCCTCCTGGGTGAACAGAGAGTGACGGAGGCGTGGCTGGTTTGCAGGAAGGCGTGGTCCTGCGGGACCGTGGCATCAGCCGGCTCCATCAAGTTCTGGAAAGCGCAGGGCTTTGTGTGTGTCCTTCGATGGGCAGCGCAGCTCCGGACATTTTATCCTTCATGCTGACTTGGCACTTGGCCACATCTTACCCCCCAGCCTCCAGGGCTGATGCTGTCACTGACCTAGCCCCCGTGTGTGCAGTCTCCTGGGGCAGGGCTGTTCCAGGCTGTGGGTGAGCAGGCTGAGCTGGGTGACAGGGCCCCCGTCCGTGTGACAGAGGCTGGCTGGCGGTAAAGGGAGGGGCCGTGTCCATATGGAGGGTGACTCAGGCTGGGGCTGCGTCACCCCAATGGGCTCAGCTAATGGGGTGTGAATGACCCCAGTACATAAGCATTCTGGAGGCAGAAGGTTGGAGGAAGCATTTTGCAGGAGGCTGATGCTCTCGTGCCAGTTTGTGAGGTCTCCACTGATGGAAACCAGGCTGCCACACAAGGGTGGGGACTGTCACAGAGGTGCTCTCCTTACAGACTCCTTCCTCCGAGCTGTTGATTTCCCTGTTCCAGGACTTGGTATGACCTCAGCCCCGTAATGCAGACCGTGTGTTAGAGTGGGTTTATGTGTGTGTGTGTGTACACGTGTACGTGATCGTGTGTCTGTGTGCATGGACATGTGCACATGCATACATATGCGTGTGAGTGTGGTTGTGTGTGTGTGTGTGCACAAACACTGAATTCAGTCATCGCTGTGTGAAGTTCGACAAGGGGCAGAGCGTGGCGAGGTGGGCATTCAGCACAACTCAGCAGGTGGGAGGTACTGGTCAGAGAGCACATGCGGGGCGGCGTGTGGGCCGAAGTGCATCACCATCTGGACGCCTGCTGAGTTTGGTGTCACTGAAGCTGCCGTTCATACTGAACTGGAATCAAGAAGTGACGGAAAATGTCACAGCAGAAAATGAACTATTCAGGGATGGCAAGTAGTGTTCTGGAATTCGCCGAGAGGGAATGAATGCATGGACACTAATCAACCCCAGATGAAATGCCCACAGAGCACAGATTATGCAGTGGCTTTTACAGACTTCTTCAGAGCAGAGCCTCTTCCGTGCGGAGAGGGGGCCAAGGAGGTGTGCACAGCCCGGGAAGCATCGAGGGGTCTGAACACACGTGGGGTGTTGGGGGAGGGCTCGGGTGTGTGCTGCCCCTCAGAGCTTGACTGCCCACCAGCAGGGGTCGGGTCTCCCTTTATGGGCACAGGGCCACCCCGAATGTGTCCCCAATGCTTACCCCAAAACAAAGGCAGGAAGAAGGGACAGCTCCCCTCCCCAGAGACCCTCAAACGTGCTGAGTATGGCGGTTTGAGGTGTTCAATGCCCACCTCCCTATAAACGGGCACCAGCCTGGTGGTGTGTTCACAACCATGTCTGACCAAGTGGCCTCCGGCCCCATGCCTCCCCACGCACAGCCACCAACATCCCTTCGATGCTCACAAACAGGACACGCTCCGGGCACTGCCTGAGATTTAATTTGAATTTACACGGGATGGAGCATCACATCACACTGGAAAACTGTTCTAAGATACATCTGCGGGAAAAGCACAGTTCCTTGTCTCTGCGGGAGAGCTGGGGGGACTCTGGGGACTCTCAGAAGCAGCCTTGGGATACACAGCACTACCAAAGAAAAAGTACAGTACCCGTTTCTGTATAAGAATATATTATTTAAAAGACAGTTTAAAAATAAAAATTCTGTACAGCATCATGAATTCCTTTTTTTTTTTTGTATCAGTGAACAAAACAGTTCTTAGAAAACACAGTCTTGGCGGAGTAGGCGCTCAGAGTCAACTTTTCCCTGCACGGTTGTCTCCCATGAGGCTCCGGCTCCGCCAGCCTGGTCCAGAACCGCGGCCCGAGACTGTCCTGCCGTCTTCAGGCTCCGTCTGCTTGGAAAAGGAAGAGGAGAAAGCTTCTGTGGGGACTGAAAATATGCAGATGCTGTCAGACGTCACAGGATGACGTGCAGACGATGCTTAAAAACTGCAACACTGCTGAACACATTTAGGCCAAATAAAACAATCTCGATCCCTCTTCTGAACCATTAAAAAATAGGATGTGCCTGAAAAACGAAACACCAATGTTACAAGCACCTGGGGTGTCCCGGTGTTCTGCTCGTTTAACGGACAAAACAACAATAGTAAGGGTATTATTCCCGCTAGTGGAGAGATTCAGGCTCTGAGGCTCAGAGTGGTTGAGACACTTGGGTGGGTCACTCAGCTGGTCCTAAGCTAAGCTCAGCCTGTTGGGTGCCCGCACCTGTCGCTACTCCTCTGCACAAAATCAGACCTCGCGTCCCATGCCCTTCGCCTGGCATGCTGTGTAACTGGGAATCTCTCCAGTGATCCTTCAGACCGAAGGTGCTGGTTTGCCTTTCACACGGACCACACGAGCAGCTACTGTCAAGTGCGTGGAAAATGCTCACAGCCGTGTGAGTGATACCGCATTTCTGGGAAGCTGTCACAACGTGCTTTTCCTTGTAAGTGGCCCGTAGGCTTGTGACCGATCTTGTGCTATCAGCCAAAGCATGTCCCCCTTCCTTCAGAGCCAAATTCTATGAATTACAGGCAAGGAATCAAAGTCTCACTTACTCCAAAACCATCAGCCATTCGGATTTTCTGCCCTCCCCTCCTTATGTCCTCCCCGCAGCCCCCACAGATCTTCACTGCTGCCCCGTTTTGTCTGAATTACCATATGCGTAGAGACGTCAATTCAGGATGGCGTTATCTTCACTTTTCCTCACATCTCTGCTTCCCTCTCTCTGTGGGTCCGTGTGCCCGGATGTCAGGCTCTCCGTCTTCTGTAAGCAGGACAGAGTAGGGGACAATCAGGTTCCAGGAGCCTGTGAGTCCCTGCTTATCTGCTAAAGAGCTTCCCGTTGAGTGAAATGCTAATGTGTCACGGAGACGGATGTCCGCAGCACAGTCTGTGTGCCCGTCACCTTCCCCACTACGGGAGGCCTCCCTGTCTCGGCCACAGTCTCGAGCTTGGACTGCTAGCTCGTTCGGGCTGCAGAGCCCAGTGGACTGGCAGGGGTGAGCACGGAGCCTGTGGGTCTGTCCTTTCTGGGGGCAGGAAAGCATCCTGGGGGTCCGAATGGCCCCCGCTGGGTGGCCAGGCCTGGGACCTTTATAGCAATGGCTCTCGGGGGGCCCAGGAATGCCAAGGTGCTTTAGCAATCCTGCCGGGGGGCCCGCCAGGGACATCTGCTTGGACATCGCTCTCTGTACCATTTGCTTGTAGGCTTTGGAGGCTCAGAGATCTGACTAGCGGAACCGGCTGCGGGTCTGGAACGCCCATCGACCAGTAGGCAGCTCCAGAGTGCTGATGACGTGCCTGGTGTTGTACACACGGCAGTTTGGGGGGATGAGAGCAACACAGCACACCTGGGAGACCACCTGGCGCTCAGCGGGGCATGGGGGTTCCCAGCGGCAAGGCTGGGGAGCACCATAACTGGGGAGCTCTGACTGAAGGAGGGGTGGAGACAGTATGGGGTGTGGGGTGTGTGGCGCGGCTGAGGCCAGGCCCACTCCAGGTGACTGGCTATCAGGTGGGGGGGGTGTCTGTGTGGTCTCGGGGGGCAGGGGTCCCTGAAGCAGAGATGTACACACACCAAGGCCCTGGCGTGGCCAGACCCACTCACAGGCTGTGCAGAACGCCTCTACCCTGGCTCTGAGCATGTGAGCTGGACCTTCCCTGGACATAGTACCAGGCCTCACAGCAACCTAGAGCCAGGCCTGGTCTCCCTGACCCTAAGTGGGCCGAGCCATCATGTGTGAGCTCCGGGATGTGGGTGGTGGCTTCTGTCCTGCAGGAGCAACGTGTCCTACTGCCCTGTCACTGAGCAAGGTCAGCCCCGGGGCCAGGAGGAGGACAGGGACGCACATGGGGCCGGGATGCTGCTCTGAGGGGGTCTGAAATGTGGAGAGACCCTGGAGCATCCGATTACAGCACAAGGACTGGGGATGATGTGACCCCTCCAAGGGGTGCAGAGCATCAGGGGCAATTTGGTTTCACAGAGAGTAAAGGTACCCTGGTTTGCCAAGGTCTGGATTTCAGGGGAATGGAAATGAGCTCTGGTGCAGAGGGCCCTCCCGCCGAGCACCACAAGGATGACCACCTTCCCCACGTGGCACCTGTTACCTCTCTCAGGGCGTCATCCATTTGCTTCAGTTCCTCGTAATGATCTCTGGATTCCCAGAGGGGCTGGAGCATGATTTCCTCCACCACAGGGAAGAGCTGGGAGAGACAGGTTCACAGTCCATCATTCTCGAAGCGGCGGCAAGCGTCTGGGAAACCGGGGGGCCAGGGGACCACACAGCAAGTGTCCTCGGAGCCCCTGGGCCGCCACTTGCAGCGGGGTCCCCGGTGACCCCCATCCTGAGGCCATCTGGTCAGCAGCTCCTGGAGACCCGCAGGCCCAACACCTGCCACCCACCCACCTCCGGGCCCACTCTGTTTCTGTCCTCACTTCACACGGCCCTGCCTTCCGCCTGCCTGTCCCCAAATGTCTGTTGTCCAGACGCCAGCCTCGTCTCTAGTCTCCTGACAGCCCCGTGGCCGGAGGAACGAGACGGTTCTGGTGGCGTGGCCTTGGCCACCCTGTCATCCCTGCCCCGGGGGATCCTGCGCATGCAGATCTCGGCCCTGTAATGCCTCCCATGCCTTCCACACTTCCCTGTCACAGCCCGGTCCTGCTGCAGGGGGAGGGCAGGGCCCACGTGGCAGTCCTCCACCCCTGCACCCGCTGGCCATGACAAAGGCCCGGAAGTCTGTGCAAGGAATGTACAGGGAGGCGAGTCCCCAGAGAAGTAGCAACAAATGGGGTTTACGGGAGGACGTGCCGAGGTGGTTCCGGAAGGCTGGCCGGTGCCATGGGGCCGAGGCCAGCTGAATGGGTGCCCTCAGAGGTGGAGGCGTGAAGAAAGGCAAGGACCAGGAGCTGAGGGCCGTCCTGTAAGACAGGTGTGCCCAGGACGGCGGGGGACTGCGTGCAACGAGGGGGGCAGCCCTCCCTGTGTTGGGGGCATGGGGAGCCATGGAAGGTTCAGGAGAGAGGCAGGGATGGTCTCCTTGCTGAAATCAGCCTGGGGATGGCCCTGTGCCGGGTAGAGTGGGGCAGGTTAGGAGGTTCTTCTGAAGGCAGAGGTGCCCTGGGAGTGGAGAGCCTGGGGCAGCTCCGGGGGGCACGGAGACCAGAAGGCTGGGAGGGGTGAGATGGGGAGGTGAGAGGGTGAGGGCTCCGGGGATGCTGGCGGAGGGGCCTTGGGTCCCACCTCACACCGCACAGGGGTGCGCATGTGAACCTGTGCATGCACACGTGTGTGTCTCTCAATGCGGCATCTTCAGCACGTGGTGACAGTCACTCACCTTGGTCACCGTTTCGAACATCGGGATCAAGACAAACTTGATGAACCCAATTTGGGCTGTGGCTTTGGTCACTTTGTCCCGGTCCATGAAAGGGGCCACGGGAAGGCCCTCGGACTTCTCGCGGTCGCTCTGGGGGATGCAGTGGGCCACAATGTTAGAAATATCCGTGGATTCTGGGGACTCTGAGGGCACGGGGCACGGGGCACGTTCCTGTGCCTCACCCAACCAGACTGCTCTGCCGTAGGGGTGGAGGTAGCGACAGGGATGGAGCGGTATCTTCTTTGGCCACCGGAGCATTCAGAGGGTGTGCGGGGCCGGCCGTGAGGACAGGGCGCAGGGACAGGCGCAGCCGGCTCCGAGGCAGAGGTGGCCTGCAGGACCACAGCCTCCTCCTGGGGCCCACCTCACTGGCCTGCCAGCATCCTCCCCACACTGGGTTCTCTGAGCGTCAGCTGATCTGCGTGGTCTCACCCGCCCCTGGGGGCCCCTCCTGCCTCTGCTGCTTCTCTTTGAGGCCGTTTGCCCGACTCATCCACCCTACCAGCTGCACACTGGTCGCGGGCGGTGGGTTTCAGGGCTTGCTTTCCCAGGCTGCCCCTGTCTTCCCTGTGTCAGGTTGTACCCGTTCATCTAGGATGTGCACCTGCTGTGAGGGCTTCCTGGAGGCTGGAGAAATCGTCTGTGACCCACTCCACTAGTCCCCCTGGGTACACCCGTTGCCTTTCCAACACGGAGCCCATAAAGGGTTTAAGCTGGTGGGTGTGGGACACTTACCTGCATGAAATACTCTTCTAATAGGCAGTCCACCCAAGGTTCCGCAACTTCCATTGGACGGACCTCGTTAGAGATGTCACAGCATTTTATCAAAATCATCTTCAGCTGGAAGAGAGATCTGGGATCAGGCATGGGGCGTAGAGCACGTCCCACTCCTGCTGTCTGGGTCTGGCCTTGCCGCCCCGGGGGATGGAGGGGGCGCTGATGGCCAACGGGGGCTGAGCTGTGCTGCCTGCGTCCATGGCACCACAGGCTCGCTCTGGGCAGGTGCGCTGGCAGTCCGCGTCTAGACCCCCGGCCATGCCCAGGAGAATGGGGGCCTCACCACACCCCCACGGGATCAGAATCTGTTTGGGGGGCTTGAGGAGTAGAAAACTCTGTTAACACAGACACGCTTTGTAATACAAACTTAAATCGTAAAGTGTAAAAGGATCTTCTTGCTTGTTGAGGACACACAAAAATATAGAAAGAAGTCACCGTTAGCAGGCAGAGGTTAAAGGGGTGATGGTGGGACCCCTGGTAGCAGTGAGCATATCAGAGGAAGGCCCCTCACAGAAACTCTGGGTGGGGGGCGTTCCCCTGGGCACTGCATGCCCCCGAGCACGAGTGGTACCTGCAGGGCTGCCCGTGACCCCAAGGGCATCCACCGGGCCGAGCTCTGATTGCACCTGCCCCTCCTGCCTGGAGTCAGAAAAATCACACGGCGGCGAAAGCGGTGGGGGCTTCTGCCCGGTGCTCCCAGGCCTGTGTCTCCCCTGTGAGCTGGCGCTCTCTGCCCGGGGCCCCTGCACCTTGTGCTCAAGCCATCACCCTACAGAAACCTTGCCTCCCCCTGCTGCCCACTGCCTTCCAGGTCCTAATCTGGCCCCTCCTTCCAGCCTTCCTGGCCCCCCCAGCGCCAGATGGTGTCCCCCAGCAAGGCCTCCTGCTGCCACACATGACTGTCCCCAGGGGTCACTGACGTCCCGGGACAAAGCGTGAGCCACCGCTCGGGGTCTGAAGGTGACCCAGCAGGAAGTCCCCCCGGGCACACCAGCGTGGGCTGTGGGCCCTCTGAGTGGGCCCGGGCTGTTTGCACCCAGTCTTGCAGGAGGCGGGTGGGAGCCTGACTTGGCAGAGCACCTCTCCGCTCAGCTCAGCGTCTGGCACAGCCCCAGCTGAACCTCAGGGTGACCTGGCTGCCCTTTTCCCTGTCCCTGGTCACCACCCTTCCTTATCAGTGCCCGGGAGTCGATCCAGGCCTTCCTTGTCTGCTCTGGGAGTTGGCTCCAGAACACAGGCCGTTACAGGGCCTTGCTCGGCAGGCCTCTGAGGGAAGCTGCCCCCACACCGGGCCCAGGGCACAGCCTGGGCACTTCGTACTGGAGGGAGCTGTGCCGGGATCTCAGGCCGCGGCCACATGGAGCACTGCATCCAGACCTCCTGTTGGGGGCCTCGGCTGAGGTCCTAGAATCCATTTTGACCCAGAACCTTTCCACTCTTGGGCCTCTCCTTCTACCTCCTCCAGTCCCCATGTCCATCAAGAAGTGGGTGCTTTTGGGGCTCCTCGGCCAAGGCACGATCCCCTGGTCTGTGCCGCAGGCCACAGACCCTCGCTCTGTGTGGGGGCGGAGGGCCCTCCCTTGCTCGAACAGCTGGAGTGAGGGAGTAAAGGTGTGATGGTCACTCCTCATCGTCCTGACCGCTCGACACCTGGCAGCAAGACTTCTGGCCTCCTGCCTGTGAGGGCCTTTCCTTATGTGTCAGAGGGTACATGGAGACTCCAAAGGGGCTCAGCCTACTCGTTCTTCCTCCTGGCCCTGCTGTGGAGGGCAGGCGGCATCCCCACACCCCGCTGGTGTTTCAGGAGCAAAGCCGTCCCTCCAACGTGACTGCATCTCCCCATGTTCAGCCCCATGAAGGGATGCCTCGGGAGGCTCACGGGGATATTTTCTCCTGCTCTTTACTTATGGAAAATGCTAGGTCCTTCCCTGCACACTTTGTGTGTTAGCTGTAATTCAGGTTTGGGGACGGGATGGACAGAAGGTCAGCCAGATCTCACAGGGCTGTCCTTGTTCATCAGCTTCTAGGGATGGAAAGGGACCATCAGTTTTAAAAGAGAGAGAATGCCAGAAAGGCCTCCCACCCAGACCAGGCTCAGCATCACCCCTTCCCTGAAGACTGGGAAGGACATTTCCATGTGTTTTTCTCCTAAAAGGGCAGGCATGGTGCAGACCCAGGTGGGCTCTCCTCACTGGAGAGATCTGCTCCCCTTCTCTGGATGCCCGGCCCCTGCTCATGGAGGGGTGAGCCGGGAAGGGGCCCTGCAGGTCCGACTTGCCCGCCCAGAAACTGGTACGCAGGATGTTTTCTGGGGCCATGCCTTCACGGGAAGACCAGCTTTGTTCTCAGGAAACCAGAGCAAGATGGACTGCCTTCACCCACTCACCACCTTCAAGTCAGAACGAGATGCAGGAATCAGAAAAGCCGCCTCTACCCGGGACATGGGCTCGCTGGGGGCTTTTCAGGTAAGCGCTGTGATTGTGCGCCCACTTTAATCATGCCTTGCTCCAAGGCCTGGCAAGGGTTGGGGTTTCTCAGTTTCCAGTCTGGGCTGGAGGGTGGGACACATGCACCAGCCTCCGAATGAGCTAAAACAAGCTACTTACAAGGGTCATGTGCTCCTCATTGCTGTAGTCAAAATTCTCCATTGTTTCTTTGAAAGAATCCATAATTTCTGCATGTCTTGCCATGTCAGTGGCTAAAATTAATGTGATCATCCCCTGAAAAGTGAAAGCAAAATGTTAACCCTGGGTACCGTCCCAGCATCACTCCTTGAGCCCTGACTGCGTGCCGAGCCCTCCGCGCAGTGTCCCACTTGGTCCTCGTGCCAACTCGATGTGTGTCTCTGAGAATCAGTGTCCTCATTTTCAAGATGAAGAAGCGGAGCCTTGAGGAGGTTGGGGAGCCTCCCAGGCCGCGGCTGGCGGGTGGAGGCTGGGGATTCAAACCCACACGTGCATTGCGGGCGAGCCCCGAATGCCGAGTCCAGGAGGAGGCAGCCCCCCCAGGCCCGCCAGGCTCATTCGCTTGCAGGTGGCAGGCTCAGCACCAGGCTTCCCTGTGACGGCTCGTCTCAGCCAAGGACAAACGCTTCCCCTCAATCCAGGAGTCCGGGTATATAGCTATTTCTTTCACATCACATCGCTGGAGGTCACTAACCGATTTTCCAGGAGACTTTTTCCTGTTATCTAATCTGTGCCTTTAGTGCTTGGGAGCGATCAAAGTCAGGTTATATTTGACAGCACCGTTCTGCTAACACGTTTGTAAATGAGGATGCAATGATAAAAAAAAAAAAATTTTTTTTTTAAGTAGGCTCCACGCTCAGTGTGGAGCCCAACGCGGGGCTTGAACTCATGACCCCGAGATCAAGACCTGAGCTGAGATCAAGAGTCGGACGCTCAACTGACTGAGCCACCCAGACACCCCAAGAATGCAGTGATTTTTAAAATGGAAATATTTTAATACCTTGTTAACCAAATATTGGTTTAGTAGAAGTAACGTGATTCGAAGCCGTGACCATCCATGCACCCCGAAAACATGTATAAGGACACAGCTCTGTGCTGCACAGAGTGCTGTGCTTTCCCCAAAACACAGAACTACAGCATCCGGGATGGAACCGAAATCAGTGGAGATGGGTCATCTCAGATGTATTTTGGGGGAGGGGAACATCCCTGGCATTTTGAATTCTGTGATTTCTCTTAAAGATTTCATTGTGTTACTAGTGAAGGGGCCACTCCTATGAGGATTCATCCCTAAACATACTCAATGACAAAATATTATTAAAAATTGGGACAACTAGGGCGCCTGGGTGGCTCAGTCAGTGAAGTGTCTGCCTTCGGCGCAGGTCGTGATCTCAGGGTCCTGGGATCGAGCCCCACGTCGGGCCCCACCCTTGGTGCGGAGTCTGCTTCTCCCTCTCCCTCTGCTCCTCCCCTGGCTCACGGTTTCTCTCTCCAAATAAGTAAATAAAATCTTTAAAAAAAAAATTGGGACAACTGCTTTTATGCCCAGAAAGTTTCATTTTCACGTTAGTTATGTGTTTGGGGCAGGACAAGCCTCCTGTGTCCCCCTGGTGGGAGGGTCCTGCTCTGACCGCTCCCGGGGGGCGGGCGCGGGTGGGTCACGCACGAGGGGGACCGGCTGCTGTGGTCCCTGCAGGAGCTCCTCACCGGGCCACCGTCGGGGCCTCTCCATGACCTGCCCCTTTCCCACTTGAGAAAGATGCGCCTTGGCTCATCCTGGCCAGGCGCTCCAGAGCAGGGGAGAGGGCGGGAAAGCCCACAGATAAAGGGGACACAGCTGTGCCGGGCATCAGTGACTTGCCGGTGACAGACCTTCGGCACCGCCCAGAGCTCTGAGCTTCCTGGAAGCGTGGCCGATGGATGACAACAGTTTACGGGGCTGCTCTCTGACAGAGTGAAGCTTATCAGACCTCCGGGAGGGAGAGCCCGGATCCCCGTGTCTTTATCAGGTGCACCTTGAGGCCAGGCCCCGAGGCATCGAGTGGGTGAGGTTGTCATCCGTGGGACGGCAGAGCGTGGCTCCTCCACACGAACGTGGTCCCCGGCTCGTGGCACTACTAGCTGGGTGACGGGGACCAGCAGAAAGGCCCCTTCTCACAGTCTGGAGGCCAGAAGTCCCAAGGCTCTGGGAAAACGTCCTTCCCGACTTTTCCTGCTCCTGGTGGCCCCAGGCGTTCCCTGACTTGGGTCCATGTCACTCCAGCCTCTGCCTCCACTTTATGCGGCTTTTTCTTCCATGTATGTCTCCCCTTTTGTCTCTTCTGAGGACACTTGTCATTGGATTTAGGGCCCACCTGGGTAATCCAAGCTACTCTCCAGAGATCTAACTTAACTACTAGCAAGACTCTTCCCAAGTCGAGTCACATTCACAGGTTCCGGGGGTCAGGAAGGGAACATACAATTTCTTTGGCAAAGGGGGTCCATTCAACCCACATACTCCTCTAAGAGGTCCTTCCGGTCTCTTCCCTCCCCTGGAAACATCAGAGGGGGTGCACGGAGCTGTGCTCAGCGGGGACCCCCTGCGTGGAAGGGGGTGTTACTTGTAGCGAGTGGGAAGCTGTGGGTCTCAGGATGGGAGGGCGCTGTCCCCTCCTCCCCAGCGTCCCTTATCTGAAGTGGGTGGTGGGGCTGACTTAAGTTGAGGTGGGGGTTCGGGAAGCAGTCGGGTTTCTGCCAGATTGGATGCAGCAGGTGGGTCTGTCCAGGGCCTGCACGAACTCACTGTGGACCTCTGATGAGTGACCCAACCTCTGGAACCCTCACTCTCCCAGGCTGCAGGCTGGAGAAAGGACAAATCTCAAAGGATTCGGTCAAATGAGGGATGTGAAATGCAGGTCGGTGGGGTCCCGTGTATCCATGCTGAGGGCTCGTGTCTCCCTTGGGTGCACTGGCCTTGGTGGGGGAGGGGTGGGGCCGGGAGCGCGTGGGGGCCTCAGCCACTGGAGCAAGGGGGTTCCACCGGTGAGCACAAGGGGGTTGTGCTCACCGTCCCCCCACTCTGCAGTCAGAGGGCCCTTGCCCCTGCATACCTGTCTGATCTGCTTGAACTCGTCCAGCTGCATGTTGGCAAAGATGTTGCACTCGGGCTGGGCGAGAATCTGAAAGGCCACGGCGCAGTGGTGGTTCTCCAGGGGCGAGATGTCGTTGTACCGGACGGCCAGCTCCGTGCGGGCGTTGATCTGGTACCTGGCATCGAAGGAGAGAGTACACGGAGGCTCAGACTTCCGCGGGGACACGGCGGTGCCAGCAGAGGCCAGGAGGCGAGCCGTGGCCCTCTGCGGTACCAGGGACGCGCTCCTCCGGGCTCTCCTGACTCTCTGCTGCCCCTTTCGCTTGATGCCCTCAAGGTCTTTCCTGTAACCCTACCAGGTAGACGCCACCAAGACCCCTCCTCTGCGCCCAGTGACGGTGCCCGGAGGCGATCAGGCCTTCCATGTTGGCCCCTCGACACGTCATTGGTATGCACAGAGGGCAGGCGTTTGGGGGGGCACCAGGGTGTGTTTTCATGTTGCAGCTGTGGCTTCGACCCCTTGGCTGGACTGTACCTCGCACATGATCTTGAGTGTGAAAGCAGGGGGTGGATGCTCACAGTGCCCGCCTCCTTGGAGGAGCCCGGGCGTCCCCACCACGGAGGCCTGCCGTCAAACGTGATGGTGAGTTCTCGGCCACGTCAGACCACACAAATACACCTGCTCGGACAGGTGCATCACCAGGGATGCAAACCAGTGCCACACAGCTGGGACCCGGCAGTTATGCAGGGTGGACTCTGTGCCCTTGTCCCCCCAGAAGTGGGACTGAATCACTGTTCCTGTGAAGCCTGGCCCCCACAGCCCGCTGTGGACCCCTCCCACCCGCTGCCCATCTGCAGTCCCTCTCTGTCTCGGTCCTGTTGGAAACAGGCTGGGGAGAGGGATCCGGAGAATGGGGCATCATATGCGGCCACCACGCCCTGCTTCAGGCGGAGGGGAGGACTGGCATCACCAGGACTGCAAAGGAGTGTGGCAGCCCCTCGGGGCTCGGCAAGCCGGAAGCTTCTGCCCCGGGTGGCCCGAGGTCCTGGACCAAGTCCCAGAGTGGGAGCTGTGTCCTGCGGAGGTGAGCTGGGGGCTGGTGAGGCTTCGCCAACAGCTCCAACTTGGAACTAGTCTGCGTGTTAAACTGAAAAGGTCACTCTGATAACCAGAGAGCCCTTTAAAAGGAAAAAGAAAAATCATGTACATACGTGTTGTTGTACCCCGGATGATCCAAATCATGGCAGATGGCTGCTGTCATTAGAATCAAGATATCCATTTGGGAAAATTTCTCCTGGATCAGAGAGAGGGTGGGAGGGGGTGAGGAGGGGGCTGGAATGGGGTGGGAGAGGAGTAACATGGGTAGGATGAAGCCCCTCAGCAGCTGGCCCGGGGGTGGGGCCAGGAGGGCGGGGGACACGGTGGGCTGGGGTGGCTTCCCTAGGAGGGTAGGGGAGCCTGTACCCCGGGTGGGGGCTGCGTCCCGAGCGAGGTACTGCCACCCCCAGCAGGAGCCCCCCCGAGACCCACCTGGAGCCTGCAGACCCAGATCATGCTGTACATCATCTGGGTCACGCAGAAACAGTGCCGGAAGTTGTGGAAAGGGTTGTTCCTGTAGTTGTCGTGCACGCAGAGCTGCGAGAGACGGAGGGTCCCAGCTGCCCACGTCTGCTGCCCACCCTCCCCTCCAGGCTACCCCGGGCAGCTCCTTCCCATTTTGCCAGCTGACTGCCAGTGTTTCAGATGCACTCTGCATCACCCTTGGCTGACCCAGAGGCCAGCTGCCTTCCTGGGCTTGCTGGAGGTACGGGCGAGGCGGCCCAGGGGGCCTGAGGACGTTCCACTGGCCACTCTGTGGCCGGAGGGCAGCTGGGCAGTAGGCTTTCACCTGGGCTCATGGACTGAGGTGTCCCCAGAGGGGCTCTGAGGAGCCACGCGGGGACGTGAAGCTGCAGGGAGGGCTGGGGGGCTATCGGAGTGGCTCTGGGTCCCGGTCCTCATCACACCTTTTCATATTTTAATATTTAACATCTATGCTTTTCACACTTAGTTCTGAGCAACATTTTGTTTAAAGTAATTGCTGAACACACACCCACATACTCATACACGTACCCCCTCCACACATGCACACTCACGCCCACCCGCACGCATTCACACACTCCCACCTCCACACACTAACATTCATGCACACACGCACACAGCAGTCAGGCCGACACCCCCCATAAACGTGCACGCACCTGCACACTCACTTCACTGCCCCCTCCTTGGTTCTTCCTATTTTCTCGAGCACCAGAGCAGGAGCTTAGGGGTGCTGAGTGTTTTGGTGGGAGACGGACAGAGACAGGCTGCACGTCCTCACGGAACACTCATGGGAACGTCACCTCCATCTGTAGGACGCCACCAGGAAGGGGCCCAGCTGGTCTGTTCGCTAGTAACTGGATGACACAGTGTTCGAGGGGGACGGGGGGGCCTGCACTTACCAGCCATCTCCTGAGTGTGATGGGGTTGATGGAGAAATCTCTGACCAGGCCCAGGTCATGGTACATGTGCTCTAAGCAACTCAGCATCTGCAGACACAGGAACAGAAGGGTGGTCGGTGGCGGGGCTGGCCAGCCCAGCCGCCTGATGGAGCTGCCCCTTCCTCATCCCGGGAGATGCCTGCAGGGCCCACCGGTCCCTAGAAGGTGAGCCCTCTGCTCCTGGGGGCCCTGATAGCAAAGCCATGTTGACTGGGGCGGGGGGTCTCGGGACTCCTAGCAGGGATGTGGGGGCTTGAAAGAGCAGCTGGGCTGAGAAGTTAAGGGAGTTCCATGCGAGAAGGGACCGACTGGGTGAGAGGGGGCACCCCCAAACGACCACGTCCGAAGTGACTCTGAACTTGGACACACAAGAAGCCAGGCTGAGGTGCTGGGGACACGGTTCCATGGGATGCGCGCCTGAGAGCTGGTGCCTTTGCAGACACAGACGCCCTGTGCTCGCTGAGACTCGATGGCCTGCGTCCCCAGCACGCTTCGTGCACCCTTGTGCGGCCCGCGGGGACCAGACACACTGTAAGGCACTCGTTGTGGGGTCTGGAAGGTAAGCCGCATTCCCGTCACTGAGCTGTCTCCTACGGGAATCTTGCTCAGGTTAAAACAGCTTTTGTTTTCAGTCCTGAAGATGATTGATTGTCATTGTTGTGATCTATTTAAATATAGCTCAGAGCTCTGGAGCTAATTAAGCCTGAGAAGAAAGACTGATTATTAAAAAGTGAGAGTCTGAGAACGCAGGCTCTGCTTTCTGGGAAGCAGGTCTTGCATGCAGCGCCCAGGGAGATGGGAGATCCAGGAGGCGGGGACCGTTGGGCATCACCTGGTGGCAAGGGGTGTGACACTGGCCCACGCTCCCTGGCTCCGGGGCCACACACCTGAGCCCTGCCTCGTCCCATCCGCCAGCTACCCGGGGCCCGAGCGGTCACGCTTCCGGGCTGCCTCTGGTCACCGTGTGACCTTCTCTTCCCAAAAAGGTGTGTTATGGACTGAACTGTGGCCCCCAAATCAGTGTGTTGAAGCTCTAACCCCCGACATGACTGTGTGGACAGAGGGCCTTTGAACACTCATTAAGGTTAAATGAGGTCATCGGGGTGGCCCTCGTCCACTAGCACTGGTGTCCCCATGAGGAGAGGAGACCAGAACTGACATGCACACAGGGACGACCACGTGAGGACCCGGAAGGCGGTGTCTACACGCCAGGGAGAGGGGCCTGGGAGACAGCCGCCCTGCCGACGCCTGATCTCGGACCTCTAGGTGTGAGCGGACGCCTTCTTGGCCTGCAGCGCATGTTACAGCTGCCCGAGCTGACAGCTACAGGGCACGCCACCGGAGACCCGTCTTCCTCGTGACACGGCACTGGGAGAGCTTGGAACACGGGGAGCATGAGCTCTGCATGTCCAGCCCTGTGCCTGGAGCGTCCACAAGACGGCTGTGGAAGGAAGGCCACGGAGCCGAGACCCGTGGCATCGCCAAGAATTCAGTGGGCATGTGGGAATCTGCAGTGTCACAGATGGACTGTCCTCCTCGAGGGGACGGGACGGACGCAGACTGCATTATGTGCAGGGTGCCAGGCTCTGGGGACGAGTCCAGGGCCCTGGCGTGTGGCTTGGGGTGCTGGCGCCCACCGTCCTGGATGCCGGCGCTGGGGCCAGAGGCCTGCAGCCCCCTCCGCTCCCCTCCGCACGCACGCGCAGCTCCAGCAGTCCCCATGAGCCGTGACGGTGGTGGTGAGATCGGGAGTCCACAGCTGGAGGTGATGGGCAGACGAGACCATCTGGCCCCACTTCTGTGACGTGTGCGGCAGCTCTGGAGTGGGAGGGACGCGTCGTGCATCCGTTCCCACGCTGGCAGCCCCGGATGCTGGGTGGTCCGGGCCGGGTGGCCACCTGGAAGTGGCTACGGGCGCTCGCCAGAGAGCCGGGGCCCCATGGCCCGTAAGCCCCGCGCTCCAGGGAGGTGGCCATGCTGGGAAGAGCTCTGACACGTCAGCTAGCGGGGAACAAGAACACGTGAAGCCATTGCCTTCGTCTGCTCTCTGAGCTGGAGGACCCTGCTGGGGCTGGGGGTGCTGGGCACAGAGATACCCCCACGCGAAGGAAGAGGTGTGATCCCCCAGTGGGGGCCCCGACATTCCAGGGCATGAGCTGCTTCGTGGGCGGCCAGATGCAGTTTTGGGGGGCCTTCACCGCTCACAGTCCCAAATCCACAGCACCCCCAGATTGGCCAGAGGCTAGGGCTCCTGTCTTTGGGCATCTCTGGTTCCTGGCTGCATGTTGGCAGAACGTCTCTGGAAACCCTGGAACCGCTGAGCAGTCTGCCCCGGCCACTGAGATGCGCTGGGGGAAGCCCACCCGGAGGCTGGGCCCACCTGCAGGCTTCACCCCGGCCCTGATGCCGTGGGCAGGCGGCCTTCCTCTCCTGGGTGCGTGAATCCTTCAGCCTCTCCGGCCCCAGTGGGATTCCGTGGGAGATGGAGACAGAGCGGGCAGCGAGTGCCCATTTCCAGGCAGGTGCTTTGCCATTGGGGACCTGGCTCTGCTCTCACTGCTGGTGTGCGGAAGCCGGAGTGATTTCCCAAAAGCGGTGTTTGCCCATCCGCCAGAAGCAGGAATCTGTGCGTGCCGAGCCATCCCGGTGTGCCCACTCACCTGTGCACAAGCCTTGCCCAGCCCAGGTCCTAAGCCCAGACCCTGGTCCTGACACTTGTCTTCAAGGACCTGACCCCCGTTTCTCCTGGCCATGCTGCCTCCCATTCCCTCCGGGCACGGTGGCTTCTGCCGTGGCCTCTTGCCCATCTAAACCCACCCTCCAGTCCTGCGCGCTCCTGGGTGGCTGGATGATTTGGGGTCCATGTGACGTCCGGTCCAGGGTTTGTGATGGGACAATCCCTGGGACACAGGCCAGCACACAGTTGGGCGGAGGTGGGGCGGGCAGGGCGGCAGTCTTGTGCCGGAACGAAAGCACGAGAGCTGGGCACTTCCGAGACCCTGGCCCTGGCGACCGAGATGGTGCCCGCTCAGGGTGCAGATCTCTCCTTTCCTGCACCCTGCGGTAAGCTTGCAGGGGGGCGGCCTTTCTGCATGTCTGTGTTACCAGAAAGCTGGAGAAGTTGTAGATTTGGTGGGCCTCATGTCCATGATGAGGGACTTTTGTTTTCTCGGGGTTCCAACACGGAGGGGTACAACTGATATTATTAGATTCGGCCGAATAAACAAAAATCTCCATGTTAGTGTTTTCTCAGCAAAAGGGGAAATTGGAAGAACGGTCTTGCTGCAGGAGTCCTGCACCCCCAGTCCTGCATCCTCTGGCTGAGACACAGCTGTCTTCCCTCGGCCCCTCTCCTGAGGAGGCGCCTCCCAAGTTTCCCCTCAGGGGGTGTGGCGGCCCAGGAGGGTGTGTGGGGTTTGGGGGGCCAGCTTTCCTGCACTTGACCACCCGTGCCTCTGCTCTGACACCCCCCTTTCTGAACTCTGCGTCCGGGCCCCCCTGAACCCACCCAGAGTCAGACTGAGGGAAAACCTGGAGAATCAAGGCCAGAGAGCAGGCGAAGCCATGGGGGGACCCTGGCAGGTCCCCGTGATGCTGGCACTGGGGGCCCCTCACTCACCTCGTTGGGCTCCCAGAGCCAGACGTCGAAGGTGGGCTTCCGGAGAGCTTCGATGGTCTCTGGGGAGAGCAGGTACTGGAAAGGACAGGAGGTTGGTTAGGCTCTGGGCTGAGACAAAGGCTGGTGAGCTCACATGGATGGGGGACGTTTGCTCCACGTCCTCCTGTTCCCTGGTCAAGAACGCCTGGGCACAGACTCCAAGGCCACACTCTACAAGGATTCTGCGGAGCGCCAGCCTCTAGGGACAGACATCCCATCTGTGGCTGCCAGAGGGAGGGCGAGGGCACCAGGAGGGCTGTGGGGGGAGATGTTCCACATTTGATTGTGCAGAGGTTGCCTAAGTCTCTCCAAAGTCACAGCGTGCCGCACCTGCAGGAGGCAAGCTTGACTGTGGGTAAGTTACCTCTTCGTAAACCCGATTAAAAAAAACAATAGAGTGGGGCACCTGGGTGGCTCAGTCGTTAAGCGTCTGCCTTCGGCTCAGGTCCTGATCCCAGGGTCCTGGGATCGAGCCCCGCATCGGGCTCCCTGCTCAGCAGGAAGCCTGCTTCTCCCTCCCCCATTCCCCCTGCTTGTATTCCCTCTCTCACTGTGTCTCTCTCTGTCAAATAAATAAATAAAATCTTAAAAAAACCCCAAAACCCCCCCAAAAAAACAATAGAGTGAAGTCAAGGATAAAGAATTAACTTGGCACAGATTCAATACTGGCTAAGAAGCTATTAGGAGTTTCTTTCTTTGGCTGCAGGCTAATGCAGTGCAGCTTGCTGGGGGATGTAGATGGGGAGTGCCAGAATCGGGTCAAACTGTCGTGGGAAATAGGCTGTGATCTTAGACATAAGACCGTCATGGTGTTCGGGGATTAGATGTAATCTTCCCCGAGGTCTTTTGGTTTGCTTGGTTTTTCATTTATTTATTTATTCATTCATTCATTATTATATTATTTAGAGAGAGAGAGCAGGGGGAGGAGAAGAGGGAGAGCGAATCTCAAGCAGGCTCCCCACTGCGTGCAGACCCCGACATGGGGCTTGATCCCAGACCCTGAGACCATGACCTGAGCCAAAACCAAGTCGGATGCCTAACTGTCCGAGCCACCCAGGGGCCCCTGTTTGGTTTCTTATAAGGATTGCTATGGAGGACGGACACCTTTCATTTTGGCCGTTGGCTGGGCCTTGTGGGTCCCTTGGGCAGGATCGGGAGATGCGGGTCATGTTTTCTTGTGGGAAGAGGCCCTAGTGTCCATCTGAAGACCTCGGATAATATGTCGCACATATTTGGAAGTGGGTGGGGGGAACCCCTCACAGGGCGGCTCTGGGAGGCTCTTTGTCCCCATGAGGACTGTGGGCAGTTGGGGGGGCCTGCCCCACGCCGGGCCTGGGAAGCCTGTCCCTGCACCAGCACATGGAAACCTGACTCTTAGCGGAAGCGTGTGTGGACAGTGCCAGGCCAGGGTCTCGCTGACTCAGCTGAAGGCATGGCTGAGACGATGACCGACATCACAAGACCCTTCTCCGTGGTGGTTTGAAGTCCACACCCCCCCAACTTCCCGGTCACTGGGGCCTCCACTAGGGCCTGGGCTCTTGCAACGGAGAAACCTCTCGAGGCGGAAAAGCAAAATTTCTCGTGATAGCTACACACTGTTCAGGACAGGAGATCCAGTGAGGCAGATTTTAGGTGATTTCAGAAATGGAAGCTCCTTACAGTAACGTCTGAGTGTGAACACCCTCACCGAATGGGTGAGGGACGGACAGCGGGGAGGGGCTGTGACCTGCCGGCCTGGCGGCCCCCACGACTAACACACGGTGAAGAGAAAAAGTACTGGGCCTGAGAATGGCAAGCGGGGGTCACACAGCCCAGGGCCAGGGTGGGAGCTGCATTTGCAAACGTGCGGACAGAGGGGGGCCTGGCCAGGAAGTCGGGGTGGCTGAGGGTGGGGGGCCCGGCCGGGGGCGCACACCTGCCATTTCTCCAGAGCCCGAATTTCCTCTCACCTTGGGATACGTGGGGACATCACGCCGAGGTGTCAGTTTCTTGCTGTTATCCACAAAACTGTACTTACAGGGACAGCTGGTCCTGCAGGAAGACAGTCAGGATTAGCTCTGGGATGGCTGCTTCGGACGAGGGGTCTGCCGGGGCCCCTCCTCAGAGTGACACCAAAGAAGCCCCAGCCAAACCCAGACCCCACACACCCCTTGGTCTTATTTGTTAAGTCAGCAAGCCAGTGACCTCTCATTGCTAACCCACCAGGACCCCGCCTGGACCTGGGATGTTGCAGCTCTCCAAAAACACGTCACCTTCATTTTAGGCAAATTCCTAAAAAATCTTTTGATGATGCAAGTAAAAACATTTTTATTTTAAAAAATTCAAACAAGGAGAAAGTAGGCAAAATTTTTTTTTTAAAGCAAGCCCCCACGTTACCTACTTCTTTCCTTTCAATCTCTCACACCCTGGAAATACCTTCTGTTAAGTTTGGGGTATCCTTCCAGAGTTTTCCTAGGCATGGACACACAGGGACAGTGCCTTGGATTTTTAACAAAAATGGAACTGTCTCAAACTTACTCTTTTGCTACTTGTTTTTTTCACCTTGCTCATGGCAAACTCTCTGCTTGTTGCTCCCTAGAGCTCGGTGTCAAAGGCACGTCCTTCTGGGGTGCCTCTGGGGGGGGGTCCGAGCTGCCAATCCAGTCCCCACCACAGACTTTTAGTTTCCAGTTTCCCCCCGTACCTACCTTTAGAGATTAATTTGCTATCGGGCTCCTGACTCTGTTTTCCTTCACTTCTAAGTATCGAGGTACCCCCTCCCCGCCATAAGGACAGAACAAATCCAGCCAGGCGTGCTCTGGAGGGAAGCCACCGTCCAGCATCAGGGGACAGTGTGCTGAGCCCGGTGGTACCCGGGGCTGGATGTGGCCCCCTCCCCACCCGGGGACCCTCCCTTCCTGGAAGGGAACATACTCCCTTATCCTCAGACGTTACACACTTTGTAGATCACACCCTGTCTCCTGGGAGAGCACTTTAATACCACATAGTAAGAGCCATGAGACATTCCTATCCTTTAAGCCTGTGCGTCTACGCTGGGGAGTATATTTTAAGAAAAGAACTAGATGTGAGCAAACCACTCTGTGCACGAAGGTATTCACTGCAACGTCATCTGTTGTAAAAACACAATAAACCAGAAGCCACCTCAATGTTGCTGAGTCGGAAATAATTTAAACCATCACGGTACATCAACAAGATGGACTGTTATGTGTTAAGATATTGATGAGTATTATGTGAAGTAAGAAGGTTTTGGGGGAAAGGGGAAAAAGAAATGTTGCATACAGTATGGGCTGAAAGGTAATGCAAAAAAAAAAAAATCTACCAAGTTTCGAGGAGAAGAGAACACATTTTGTGGGCTGAGATGAGTGTGCATTGTGGCCTCCTGGGAAAACGTACGAACTGGATGTTGGTTCAAATTTGATCCATTTATTGCTTACGGTGTAGTAAGTGAAAAAAAGATTACAACATGGTATTTCTTTTCAAAAGGAGGTCTCTATACACAGAAGCACATCTGGGCAGCTCGGCATCCAGATCTCAGGTGGGGTTTGCCCCCTCATCTGTACAGTCTGGAGGTTTTACCTGGGGGCTCTGCTACTTGCAAACTCAGAGTAATACCTCTGTGTCCTTTCTGATAAAGGAGCCTTCAGTACAATTTTCTGGGGGTCCTGCTATTCTTTCCCTCAACGCGATGCTTACAAAACTCATCAGACTTCGTGTGGGGAGGGGATTTTAACACAGATTCCGCGAAAGAGTAATGAACCCATGAACCGCTAAAAGGCACCAACCAGGCAGGTGTCTCCCATTGCCGCCCTATAAATGAGAAGTCGCCCCCGCACGTTTCTGAGCAGTAACGAGCTTGCTCTGTGCCCTTGAGAATGGAGACCACAGCATCGCCCTGTCTTCCTTGCGCTCAGCCTCTTCCGTGCAGACATCCCCACACGCGCCGTGTACGCAGGCCGTATTTTCCGGGGGGGTGGGGAAGCTTGCACAAAGCAAGATGGTTGGCCTGCAGGAATCCAGCTGCTTCCTTGAAAATCCCGGTGTCGGGAGCGTCTGCTGGGTGCCCGGCGCCTCCCGCCACCCTCCCCCACCTCGGCCAGGTGGCCCGCCTGCTCCCTCTGTGCCTCGTTGCCACGGGAACCAGCCTCCTCCAGCGACAGAGCCCCTGGCATGGTGCCTTTTCTTTTCATTCTATTTGGGCCTCATTTTTGCTTTCATTTCCTGGGCTCCCAGCGCCCCGCCCCATGGCTCGTCCAGTGGACAAGGCCGTTTGTTTGGGATGGAAGTGGAGACCGGAGCCCCCGGAGCCCTGGGGAGCCCTCCCCCCGCCCGGGGTGAAGCGGCAAGCTCCGCTCTGTGCCCAGCTAGGCAGGACACTGGACCCGGGGAAACCCAAGGCGTGTGTCTCGGAAGCGCGCGGCCTGGTCCGGGGGCGTCCCAGAGCCTGCCCGCGACCCCCTCCGCTGCCGCTCCCAGAGCCGGAGGGCCCCTGGCGCGGAGGGAGGCCCAGCTGGGTGGTGCTCGTGGGGGCGATCGTGGGGCCGCCCTTCAGACTCGTCAGCCATGTGTGCGGGCACGGGGCAGACATCTGTCCCCCAGGGAGGCCGACCGCCGCCTAGCTGGGCTGATAGCCAGGAGCCAGAGCTGTGTGGGGTGCCCGTCTCTGCCCCAGTCCAGGCGAAGCCCTGTGTGGAGGAGCCTGGTCCCGGGGACGCTAACATGCTGCACGGCATCCCTGCGTGGTTAAAACGGAGCCTTGCACACAACAGAGACAGAGGGGGGCGCAGGCGGCCTCCTGTTTGCCGTCTGAGTTTGCGTCTCCGTAAAGCAAAGGGAAGGGCCATTCGTGTGGGGCCCAGAAGGGCCCGGGGCAGGTGGCCTGGCTGTGGGCTAGACCCGGGCCCAAGCCACCTGGTTTCTTTTTCCTAAATGTGTCAGCAACGTTTGAGAACTTTACCCTGTTGGTCTGTGACTGAAGAGTCACACCTACCCGTCTCTCACCTCCGTGGGATGCTGCGAACACTGTCTGCCCAGAACATCGCCTCTAGGAGCAGTTAGGGCACCGGGAAGGCTTCTCTTTGCATCACGGCACCGTGAGCTCCAAAAATGGACTTTTCGGGCGGCGAGGGAGGGCGCTTCAACCCTTGGCTGGGCCCAGGCACCTGCCCCACCTCGGCTCTGCCCACTGGGCCGGACGGGCGCCGGTGGGTCACGGTTTGCCTTGTGGCTCCCAGGCGGGCGGCTTCTTCCCATGTGCTCCAGAATCGGGCGTATCCCCCCTCGTGCCGTTGTGTGGGTTGAATTATGTCCCCCAAAAGTGAGAAGGGGAAGCCCTAAGCCCCAGGACTGTGCATATGACTTCCTTTGGAAGGAGGGTCATCCCAGGTGTCGTGGCTCCACGTGTGGCCACACCGGGGCAGTGGGCCCTAATCCAAGAGGGCAGGTGTCCTTCAAGAAAGGGACATGTGGGCACAGAGGCACACGCAGGGAGAAGACCGTGTGAAGGCCGAGACTGCAGTAACGCACGGACCGGCCGGGAGCCCCCAGGGCTGCTGACAGCCGCCAGAAGCTTCCGAGGGGGGCTGGACTAGATCTGCCCTGGAGCCTTCAGACGGAGTGTGGCCTTGTGGACACCGTGATCTCTGACTTCTGGCCATCGGTTCTGTTGTTTCAGGTGCTCTCGTGGCCGCCACGGGACGCCGGGACAACCCGGACCCGGAGAGCTCTTCCCCTGGCAATCTGAGTGGCAGGAGCAGGGCTGGCAGCCACCCCAGGACGGCACACGCCCCTCTTCCCCAGGATGGGAGGAAGGTGCAGGAGCTGGAGGGAGCCCCCGGGACGCAGCAGCAGGGACGGGGCCAGCGAGGGTGGGGCTCATGACTCACCCCCGGCGGCTCTGGGCAGGTGGCAGGCCTTAGTCATTAGAGGAGGGGCAAGTGGCTGCCTTCTAAAAAGCCTCCCGCAGGTGCTCTGTGAGCTCGCGGGTCGGCATGTTTGTGAGTGAGGTGATGCCCACGGAGGTGGGAAGGGACCTCAGGGGTCCCATTGCTGCCCAGGACACACCCCCTCTGGCCGGCACGTGTGGCAGACCCCGGCCACCGAGGGCCTGAGCATCCTCCAGCCTGCTGAGCCGGGCCCAGCCGACTCCCGGAACCGTACCTGGTCCCACGAGGGCCTCTGGCTCCTGCTCCCAAAGAGCCTCTCACTAAGGGGATGTCCAGCATGAATTATTCACTCGCAGTTTTCTGCAAATTTTCACAAACTCCTTCACCCTGACCTCCCCAAATCACATGGGATGACATCTCCAAATCCACATCAGGTGCCAAGTGGGTGTGATAGAAACGTGGTGTGGGCCCTGTAAGACCACACTAACGTGGCTTCGAGCCCACCCGAGGCCAGCCAGCCCCTCGGCTTCACGTGGGAACGTCAGCTTCCCCTGCACCTCCTGCCTTCAAAGAGCCTTCCACGCGGCCGGCCTCCCTCACTAAGCTGGTCGCCCTCAACGTTTTAAGACCCGGGAATGATCTTCAAACTGGCAGGTGCGCTTTCAAGGACAGCCTGGGGGCTGTGCGCAGGGCTAGTCTTCAGTTCCTTGTCCCCACTAAATGCCGCCGAGCTCCCCACACTTACACGCTCCATGCCCGCGCCCCCTCCCTCATCATCTCCGCTGTTACCCCGAACGCTTGCTGGGACCACAGTTTCGGCGGAGGGTCCTGTACAAACACCTACCTTCGAGGGGGTGTAAGGAAGCCCGGGGTGTTTTTTCCACGAATTTCGGCTCCCCAGGGGAGAACCCCTCGTTCTGCATGACAAGTGATCTCTGTGTGGAGAATGGCCAGGCCCTGTGGCATCTCCCCTGTGACCTGCTATTCTGAGCTGTAGGGACGTCCACACAGGAGCACGGCCTCCGGGCACCAGGACACCCTCCTCTGTGAGCCAAATGCCTTTTCCTTTTATTGGGCCCTTTCTTTAAAAATCGATGCCAGCTTCTCTCAGGCTGGATAAGTGAATCCTAAAGCTTTGATCTCTGGGGGGATTATTCCTCCTTTAACTGAAGCCATCCTCCTCACCTCCATCTAAGACTGTGCAGTTGACAAGCCCACCCCAGCCGGAGCCGGGCTGCCTCCACCCTGCGCTCATCCTGGCCGGAGCTGGGTCCGGCTCTGCCGCAGTGCGCTGCGGGGAGCAGCCCAGAGCCACCCCCTCCCTGGGCCCACGCGCAGGGCTGCTCTCCCCGGGCCTGACCTTACCTGCTGCTTCTGGCCACCAGCTCTTCCCGCATCTTCTTGATGTCACTCTTGCATTTCTCGATCTCCACCACTTTCAGGCCTTCCACTGGGACAAAGAAAAACAAGGGGGTTGCCATGGAGACATGCAGAGGACCCCGCAAGGCTGGTGACTGGGTCTGGTCCCGCGAGAAAGCTGGCTCTGGCCCCTGCCGGGGTCCCTGCAGCCGAGGGTGCCAGCAGCTCAGGGACAAGGACTCCGGCCTGGCGGGCCTGTCTTGTCCGGGGCCAGCACGAACGGCCGCACCCCTCCTTGCGGTTTCTGCAGGGCAGAGCCCCTGCTCCCCTCCCCACAATCCCGAGTCTTCCTGCACCCACTCCCCACTTTCTGTCTCCAGGCCTCTAAGCACCAGCTGGGGACAGGGGACAAAGAAATCTCTTATCCTAGAAAGAAGAGGAGAAAATAAGGCCACAGTGCCTGAAAACACGACCAGAAGCTCGGGGAGCAAAACCGCAGCCTTCCCGGCAAGGATGAGCTCATATTGCTATAAAACTTTCCCATTTTAAGGTCCCACTGGAGCAGTTAACCGGGAGAAGGTGTGGACTTCATGTGGAGGGAACACAAACAGGCCCGGTCAAGGGTGAGCAGAGCCGGGCTCGCTCACATTCTCGCAGCTCCCTGCAGAGGGCCTGCAAAGTCCGGACACCACTGTTCCCCCAAGAACGAACTGGAGCTCATGCCTCCCAGCGAGCGCTCAGCTCCAAGACCTTCACTCTGGCAGCTGCACACGTAGCCCAGAAACACTGCTACTGAGCAAGCGGCTGCAGAGGTTTTCGGGTTCAAGTCAGCTTTTAGGGAACAGAAGAGAATTGCTTTGCTACTCTGCAATCACACCTCAATTATCATGCAAAAAGATAACTACCAACGATGCTACTCTAGTCCCCTTTTCCCTCAAGCGCAGTCTGAATACCTAACAATACGATGCGAATGATTTCTCCAGGAAAAACAACCCCCTCCCACGACAAGTGTCTGCAGAGGGGAAACGCACGGCAACCTGTCCGAACCCCAAGCTCCCCGGGGCAGTTTTCCAAGCGTTTCCAGGGTCAGGGTGCGGGGGGGCAAGGCTACTGAAAATATTGCTTCTTTCTGCCCAAAGTGGTGGGAATCTGGAGGATCTGATATTCGGATATTTGGACGTGGTTCTAGTGACTTGCTTCTGTGCGGCTCGGGGGATGTTGTGCCGAAGGTTCTTCCCGTCCGCCCCCCGCCCCCCCCCCCCAGGACACGGGACCAAAGCCCGGGGCCGTCAGTGCAAGGGGTTGGCACCAGCCAGGTGGGGAAACGCAGAGAATTCGACCTCGGGGATGGTCCACTCCCTAAGAGCCCAAAACCTCCTTCTGGAACGGGGTGTTCTTAGCACTTCCTTGCATCATGGACCCCACTGGGAAGCGGCTGGAAGCCACAGGTCCTCCTCAGAGAAAAGCACACCAGCTCCCACCCCTTCTGGTTTGGACCTCCCAGAGTGCCGTGTCCAGGCCCTGGGCCACACCGCAGGAGGCTGGCCCATGGGGGAGCCCCAGTTCCAGCTGCGTCTGCCGTGGGGACGCTGACCTCAGCACATGGCAGATTCAGTGTCCGTGGGAAGGAGCTCAGTCTTGTTGACATATGAAGGGCAGACATTTCCAGAAAGTAAGCAGATCTGGAGAAGAGTTCTGGTATGTGATATAGACTTTGATCCTCAAAGCAAATAGACAAGCAGTATAAAGTCCAAACAGGGTGGCCTGCGGAAGTCCGCGGTCACATTTACTACATTTTAAACATACGGAGGAAATGCAGAGCATCTCCAAGAAGAATGTTGTAAAATTTATCTACGGTCCTATTGGCCCAGAGAACAACCCATTTATTATGTATAGTGGTGTGGATCTTTCCAGGCATTTCTCTCCCACCCCCGTGCGCTGGAAACAGCTATCTGTCCATCCAGAGTTTTAAAAAGACAAAATTGGGATCATGCTGCTTGTGTTTTCTCATTTGCTTTTTCCAGTCATCAGTAAATTAAGGACACGCCTGGTGTTAGCAGCCGCCTCCTGGCTCATGGCTTTTGGTGGGTGTGTAAGGTTCGATTATTCAATATCAGTTCATGTAGATCACATTTCCGGGCCATTTACTGGGGGGTGATGTTCAAATTCAGCCTTTGGGGCGACACAGAACAATATCACTAACTTGAACCCCAGAGATTCAGAATTTATGGTGATTACGCTTATGAAGAGCCTGGTTGCCAAGGAAATTGATAGTAACAAGATGGCAAAGTTGGGCATTAATCAATGGAGAGAACAAACATGTCACAGGATTAAAGGTGGAACACAGGGGGCAGGGGGGCAGCCAGAGCACCACGCATCCACCACCGCTGCTCCCGCCCCTTCCAGGCCATTTCTGGAAGATTCCACAGCTTACCTTTGGCCTGTCCCAGCGCCGCGTTGCCCTGGTCCCATAGGAGGGACAGGGCCCGGCCTAGGAGCGGGGCCCTACCCCTGAGAAGTCCTGCACAGACCCTGGAGACAGTTCTCCAGTGAGGCTGGATGTCAGGTCCCTACAGGGTAGCCTCATCTGTCCACCTGCAAACTTTAAACAGGTGGGCACAGAGCGGAACCCCAAACTAGAGCCCTGAGGGCTGCTGGAGCCCCCCTGACGAGGAGCACCCCCTGCGAGCCTGGGGGTCCCCTCTAGGACTTTGGGGGTCATGAAGGGCGGGGGGGGCGGCTCTGCGAGTCACACGTCACCCTGAAGGAGAACCTCTGGGAATGATTCTGGAAGAGGGGTGCCGGCTTTGGGAAGGGGTTCAGTGGGCAGAGGGATAGCACAGGCCACAGAGGCTGCTCTGCTCCTCTTCTCCACCGGCTCACTGGGCTCCCCCGAGGGGCGCCAGAGCCGGCGCGACCCTCCTTCAGCGGCAGAGCTCACGGAAGTTCGTTAAAGACGTACGTCTACAGCTGTATTTCAACACTTCCTCCAGGGGGTTCGGCAAAGAATGTGCATAAGCCTCACGTCCTGGGTGACACAGAAAAGCTTGGGTTTCGGCTTCGAGTCTTCTGGATTGTTTGTGTGACCCGACATTAAACTCTGTCCCGCAGGCCAGCTCTCCGGGTGTTTGGGGTCTGGTCCAGGCCTGGGCCCCGGACCGGGGCGCGCGCGGCCACATCCCACAAACAAGGAAGGAAGTGGAGGCCCCATGAGGTTTCATCTCCAACCGGGAAGTGAGGTGACGACCTGGGTGTCCCGTGTCTCTGAAATAATTTCTAACCTAAGCAAGACCTCAGACACCCTTGAAGAAGGAAAACGACTTAGATAAAAAGAAAGAAAAGCTTCTAAAGTGAATTAAGAGAAATTCAGATATTATATTTGATTCAGAGGAATTATGTTTGAGAAAGTAAAAAAACAAAAAAGCAGGAAATCCACTTAAAACAAGTCAAGCCAGCCTAACGTGGCTTACACATGGCCAGTCCTAGCCGCAGGCCTCCTTCAACTCAAGCACAGAGAGCAGCTAATAACAGCTCATGTACACCAGACACGGCACGTGTGCGTCTGTATGTGTATGTGTGTTTACACACGCATGCGTGTGAGGTGTGCATGTGGGGGGGTGTGTATGTGTGAGAGGATGTGTGCCTGTGTGTCTGCATCTTCGTGTAAGTGTTTACATGTGAGCATGTGTGCAAGAAGCAGAGTGCACATGTCTCTGCGTGTTCACACACGTTTACCTGTGTGCAAGCATGTGCAAGCATCTGTGTGCACAGGTCTCTGCATGTTCATGCATGTGTTTACATGTGTGAGCATGTGCGTGCATGTGAGCGTGCAGGTGCGAGTCCGGGTCTGGCCTGGGCCCAGTACAGCAGCCTGGCAGTCGAGCCCGGCAACCCTCCCAGTGCACAGGGGGGTCAGGACTGCCGCCTGAGTAGTTCCCGTGTGACCTGCATGAGGGGTCTGCGTCAGGACCCTTCTCCCCAAAAGGGCCTTCCAAGGTCCCTGCCATGCCCTGGATACTCACATCTTTGGGTTAAGGAACTGCGGTGTTTGGGTGGCTTTTTGGAGCTCATGGCCCTGGGGCTCAGCACAAGTGAGGGACCCCGCCCCCTCTGTGCTAGGGAGCAGGGGGCTTGGAGACTGGCAAGGGGTCAGCCACAAGTGCCAGGAGAGGACACACCTGAAGCCTGGCAGAATTCAAGGAGGACGAGAGTCTGTCGCAGTCACGGGCATGTCCTTGGGGGGTGTGTTCCCGTTCGGAGGGGGCAGCCAGGAGGTGGGCTTGCTGGGGCTATGGGAGGACCCACTGCCCACACTCCCACCTGACTACTGCCAAGTCGCTATCTCGGCCCATGGCTCTTAGACCTTTCTCTGCTCCCTTCTTGCTCCCTTGATCCGTTCCTGCTGTGCCCGGGTCTCTGGTGCTGGCTAGTAACAACACGGCTAATCGCAGTGTATGCAGCCAGCCTGAGCCCCGTGCACGGCGGGGTAACGCGCCCTCGAGGTAACCTGGGTGCATTTGCATGATTTATGTGATGGACACGAGGGCCTACAGGGACAGCGAGTTCTGGAGGATTCGGGGCTAGGCCACCAGGGGAGAAGGTCAGAGGTGTCGCGTCCTGTAGTCCTCAGTTCACACACCGCTTGGAGGCAAAATTAAAACACTTCTCGGCCTGATCACTGTCTCCACGGCCAGATACCGGAAGCCTCAGCACTGAGGTCAACACAGTGTTCTGGAGGAGTTTTGAAAATTCCTTAATGGCCTCCTCAACTTTCCTGTTTGCAAGGACCGGCAGGAGCTGGTGCTGCTTCTGGGAGAGATGCGGGGCGGGGGTCAAGGGGGAGGCTGGCGCGGGCCCAGAGGCGGCCAGGCGGGAGGCACCTGCCGGCCTCGGGTGCATCTGGGTGACTCTGCGCTTCTGTAAACATAGAAGGTGAATCAGCAGCAAATGCTTTTTGTGTTCTTCGGCTGAACCCCTTCCCACAGCATCTGGAGAATTCCCTACATTATGGGACTCGGTGGGAAGCTGGGCTTTTGCCTCCCACTGCAAACGCTCTCTATAGTGGGTTGAATTGTGTCCCCTAAAAGGATATATGCTTACATCCTGACCCCCAGAACTCATGAGTATGACCTTATTTAGAGAAAGTTTCTTGCAGATATAAGCGATTAAGCTCTCCAGACGAGATCATCCTGGATGAGGGTGGGCCTAAATCCAAAGACAGGTGTCCTCTCAGGGCCTGAGACACAGAGACTCTGGAAGGGGCTGTGTGAAGACGAGGTGGTCTGGGGTGACGTGGCCACAAGATGAGGATTGCTGGAGCTGCCCGTAGCCGGAGCAGATTCTCCCTCAGAGCTTCCAGAAGGACCGCCCTCCCGGTCTAGGACTTCTGGCCTCCACTGCAGTGCGACAGTCCGTTTCTGTTGCTTTAAGCTCCCCCGTTTGTGGTACTCCATTGAGAGGGCCACGGAAGCTACCGCACTCCCCTGCAGCCAGGGCGTGGGCACACGGTCCTGCTCCGTCCAGACTTCGGATCTGTGGCCAGTATACGAGGAAGCAGCCTGATGTCTGCAGCAGTGGCCGTGGGGATGGTGGGGTCTGCGCACAGAGCTCTGGGCGCTGGGGAGACAGCGTGCGTCTGGGGCTCAGATGCGGCATCCTCGCGCATCAGCTCTGCGTGGGATTTGGGATCTTGCTCCTGCTGCGTAGTCACCGAGCAAGCCCTGCTTCTGAGACCTCCCAGCGCCCTGGGAGCTCCCCAGAATCCTTTAGGAAGAAGCCCCTTTTCTGCCGAATGTGGCCACAACCGGCATGTGTGGTGCTTCCCGACCGGCCCTCCCAGGCGCCCGGGGGTCCTGCACGGCTTGAGCGGCCCCGCCCGGACCTCAGTCTTATTTACTTTTCCAATTCGTTGGATGAGCTTCAGCGGGTCACTTAATCTCTTTGTGGCTTCTTCGTCATCAGTGGGGAAAATATATTGGTTTTGAAGACAGAATATCAAATGGATTTTCTAAATGCCAACATACTCTGAGAAGTAGAACTTATGTAGGTCATGTTTCAAGTTATTAAGGTGAACAGGTTTTTGCATGATCCTGAATATTCTTCTTGAAAAAAAATCCAAGCAATTCATACAAGATACGGAAAGTGACATTCAGTGCATCCTGTGAATACGAATCAGCCAGATGCTGTCTGGGGAAGCCACAGCCCTGCTGGCCTCAGGTTCGGATTTGGTCTCGTCATCCCTGAGCTTAATAAATAGGCTGCCCTTTGCCTTGACATTGACAAAGATGTGTGAGTTGGACGGGGAATTGTGAAGCGTGAGAATTCAAGCATTGCTCCTTATTTTATGGACGAGGACACAGAGGGTGAGAGATGGAAGCTGTCCCCCTCCCAGTTTCAGCTGTTTGGTCCCTGAGTCAAGACCAGAACCGACCCTCCTTGCTTGCTGGAAGTTTTTCTGCTTGCCTCGGTGGTGACGGGGAACCAAGAGCTAACGATTCGGCAGGCGTATTCCTGAAACAGTTCTGAAGGCGCGGAGTGTATGGACTTGCCTCGTTTATGTAGAAAGAGACACAGAGATGTGCAGCAGAAGGTCCTCTCCCAAGGGGGCCGGTCTGGGGGGCTTCGAGTTTTCATTCTGTCCTCTTCTGCCCCGAAGGAGCGCCTCCACGTGCCACTACCGAGCAGGGGCGGCGGCCCAAGTCACCGTGCGCTCTTGACCTGTCCCTGGTCACCAAGCGACTTTCCCGGTATAAACAGATGCTCACCGTTCTCGCGTCCAATAGCATCAAAGGTAATTTTTAAGCGTTTCGCAAAGAGAAGACATTGCCATGTACCTCCAGCCTTCCCTCCCTCCCCTCGTCCCCCCCCCCCAGCCCCGGGGGACGCAGTTAATTTAAACAGAGATTAAAAGACAAGCAAAAAGGAAACAGAAACCTCACTCACATTCGACTCGCTTCTCTAGCACGGCCAAGTGATTCGCGACTTCAGCTTTCAGTTCGTTGATTTTAAATGCTCTAGGAATGAAAAAAAAGTCATCACTCTTAAAATTCTCGAAGTTGAAATGGGTGTGGCTAACCTCTGCTGCACCCCCTGCCCTGGGCGAGGCCTCCTGGTGGGCTCCACCCCCCTCTCTGTGGGCTCACCCCTGTAGGGGGCACAGGACGCTAGGGCTTGCTTTTAAGGCGCTCACAGCCCCTGAGGGGCGGGGAGGAAAGAGACGCACCCTCAAAGGATCGCCAGGGCCTGTTTTCCATGACAGAAGGCTGGCAGGTGTGTTAACTCCCGCACACCTGCTCTCAGGGGAGGCCCCCCACCCCTGCTCCCAGCAGGGACGGCCCAGGCCCCGCCCCCTGCCCTACTGGGCACAGACCCCTGCAGGGGACCCGGTGTGCCCTCTCCAGGCTCCAGCCTGTTCACTGTAACCACTCGGCCTTTAAGGATGTGTCACCGTAGTCCCCTGAGACAGTGAGATGCCACAGTGGGTGACTGAGCCACGGAAAGCATTCCTTTGGAACTGGTAGGATAACTCATCACGGAAAGAAGCCCCACGTCTACACAGGATCGCCATGGCAATGCTTATTTTATTTATTTATTTATTTATTTATATTTATTTATTTTTTTATAAAGATTTTATTTATTTATATGACAGAGAGAGACACAGCGAGAGAGGGAACACAAGCAGGGGGAGTGGGAGAGGGAGAAGCAGGCTTCCCGCGGAGCAGGGAGCCCGATGTGGGGCTCGATCCCAGGATCCTGGGATCATGACCTGAGCCGAAGGCAGACGCTTAATGACTGAGCCACCCAGGCGCCCCAGCAATGCTTATTTTAAAAAATGGTGTCAATTCTCATAGGTTGAGCTCTTGAGTCCCAGAAGAGCCAGTGGAGAAAAGTCTCAGCAACACGAGCTCCCACTCTCAAAGTGCCCACTTGCCGAGGTCTTTGGTATAAGGGGAGTGCTTCCCGGACCCCATCCGCCCTGGCTTCATTACGGAAGTCATAAAAGGACTCCGTCTGGAAGGCCACTCCTCCAGGTGAGTGATGTGTCAGAGCTGCCGGCCCACATGGCCGTGCGAGGGCCCACCCCTGCCGTGCACAGAGAGGCATACCTCTCCAGGGACTATGTGTCTAGAAGATTCTGTACCTTGAGAACTGCTCTGCCACCTGGGTCAGCACGCTCTGGATTAATTCTTCTTTCTCTACGACCAAAAAAGAAAGACAGATGGAGAAGGGGAAAAGTCTGCGGATCATCGTGGCCCGAATCGGAGGGTCGTGGGCAGGTGGCGCCCTCGCTGGGGCAGGGAGCTGCCTGGGTTACCTGGAGGGACCCTCGGGCCCACCGTCAGCACGCTAAGGCCTCTCCAGGGCCTGGAGTATTCCTGTCCACCTTCAGAGGCTCCTTCCCTTCCTGGCCTGCTCCCACCAACCCGTCTCTCAGAGGTCTCTCGGCAGAGCGACCGGACTCTGGTCCTCTTGTAGTCTGCGCCAGCCATAAAAAGGCAGGACTGTGTCTCTAAATACAGGAAGTTTCCACTTAGTGCCCTGCTCTACTTTATGGGGGTAATTACTAGGACAAGGTGAGTTCAAGGCATATTTCAAATGTAAAACACAGTGTTCTCATCTCATGGTAGGTCCTGGAGAGAGGAAGCAGGCCGGGGTAAGCAAGTTTGTCCCTTTGGTGCCTGGCACATAACCCCAGGCTGGGTGGTGGCTTCACAAGGTTCAGGTCCTAGGCTGAATATAACCTGCCAGTTTTCCTGTTTCCTGGCTGGGCCCCGTGCCAGAGGCCTCATAGGAAGGCACAGATGCTCACGGCACTGTTCTTTCTAGCGCTCCCTGCTCCTGGGAAGGGAGAGAGCTGGCCCTGGCTCCAGGTGGCCATTCGTTCACGCCCTAAAACCCTGAGAACCTACACAAGACTTGCTCCTGAGTCATGTACTCTCTGTTGGCTAGCCCTCTGCTAAAACCCAAACAAATGAAAACCAAGCGAAACTTGCCCAAACGAACAAAAAAATCTCAATTATCCAGTTTGGTGATGGGGCTCAAGAGCAAAAAAATGTTCCCATGCTCTGATCTAATGATCCATTCCTAGGAAGAAGCACGTGTGCGCACATAGAAAATGTTCATCGTTGTGTTATTTAACCTAGTGAAAACCGTAACAGCCGAAGTGCCCATCAGGTAGACATTAAATAAGTGATGGTACATCTGGTCTGTGGAAATACATTCTGCTATCAGAAATAACATTCTGGAAAATGTTCATGTCTATTGTTAAAGCAAAAAAAAAAAAAAAAGAGATTGTAAAACAGTAATACAGTGTGATCTCATTTTTGAAGACATTGGGAAGATACACTCCAAAGTAATGATAGTAATTATTTTTTGGTTGTAAGATTATATATAAACTTTTTTCTTATTTTTGTTTCTCTATATCTAACACATTTCTATAACTAACATATGTTAATTTCATGAAAAGTATTTAAAAAGCAATCAATCTAAATTAGCCTCTTGAAACTTCTTATGCCTTCACTTGCCAAATGAACGGGTGATGACCCAAGGTTCTCTCTGGCTTTAGCATTCTAAGACTGGATGAGAAGAAGAAAAACGATGCCTTGTTGTATCTCTCGAAACCGTAAGAGTAAAATTTTCATAGAGCCCTATGTGGAGCTGTAGCTGATCCAAGGCCCTATCCTTCAGGGAGGCCTACCCCTCTACCAGGGAAGAGAAAGTGACTCCCCTGACAAGAGCCACCAGTGAGAAAGTTTCACAGGCTTTCTTGGTGAACTCAGCAGGATTTCAGATCACTTATTCTGAAATCCTTGGGAGAAATAATGTATTGCATAACCTTCGGGAGCTAATGATCTTGAAGACTTGACATAAATTGAGAAGCCCATCAAACAAGCAAGAGACCACTCCACCTAACGATAGCAGAACACATATTCTTCTCAGATGCCTAGGAAGCATAGACCAAGACAGACCAAGACATATCCTGGTCCACAAAGAAAACCTCAACAAATTTAAAAGAACTGAAACCATGTAGAATATGGTCTCTGACCATAAGAGAATCCAACTGGAAATCAGTAACAGAAAGATCATAGGAGAATCTTGGAAATTAAACAATACTCCCCTAAGTAATTCATGGGTCAGAGAGGAAATCTCAAAAGAAATAAAAATGGATGCTGAACTGAATGAAAATGAAAATAGAATACACCCAAACTCTGTGAGATATAACTAATGCAGTGCTGAAAGGGACATTTATAGCACTAAATGCTTACATTAGAAGAGAGGAGAAACTCAACTCAATAATCTAAGAGCCTAGAAAATGAAGAGCAAAATAAACCCACAGCAAGAGCAGAAGAAAGGAAGGAAGTAATAAAGAACAGAAATCAATGAAAAAGAAAACAGTAAAGCAATGCAGAAAATCAGTGAAGCTAAGAGCTGGTTATTTAAAAATATTAACAAACTGACAAATCTCTAGCGAGATTGGCAAAAATATCACACAGAGAAGACACAGATTCGCAGTATTAGGAATGAAGGGGGGATATGACTACAAACCCTGAAGGATAATAAGGAAACACATACAACTCTACACACAGAAATTTGAAATCTTAGAGGAAAATGGAGCAATTCCTAGAAAAGCATGAACTACCAGACTCACCCAACATGAAATAGGTAATTTGAACAGCCTTAAACTATTAGGGAAATTGAATTTCTCATTTTAAAGCTCCCCCCCCCCGCAAATTTCCTGGTGCAGATGGTTTCACTGGAGAATTCTGTTAAACATTTAAAGAAGAATTAACACATTTCTAAACAATTTCTTTCAGAAAACAGAAGAGGAGGGAACACTTTCCAATTCATTTTATGAAGCCAGTATTAACTTGATACCAAATCCAGACAAAGACAACAAAAAAAGAAAGGGACAGACCATTATTCTTCATGAATACAGGTGTAAAAATCCTTAACACAATATTAGTGATTTGAATTCAGCAAAATATAAAAAATGATTATACACCAACCAAGATTAAATGGGGTTAATTCCAGGGATGCAAGGCTGGTTCGATATTTGAAAATCAATGAATGTAATCTACTGTATTAATAGCTAAAGAAAAAAAAAACCACATGATCATATCAATTTATAAAAACATTTGAAAAAAATTTAACATCTGTTCATTTCATAAACTCTCAGAGAAACAGGAATAGAGGAGAACTTCTTCAAGTGGATAAAGAACTACCAGAAAACTACAGCTCACATTACACTTCATGGTGAAAGACTGAAAGCTTCTTGCTTAAACTGTGACAAGACAGGGATGTCCGCTCTCTCTCTGCTCATTAAACACTGTGCTAGAAGTTCTAGCCGGTGCAACCAGGCAAGAAAAGGAAAGCAGATCAGAAAGGAAGAAATAAAACTGTCTCTGTTTGCTAATTACATGATTGTATGTACAAAATTCTAAGGCATTTACAAAAAACCCTCCTAGAACTAAAAAAGGAGTTCATCAAGGTCACAGGATACAAGATATATATACAAAATTGATTGTATTTACATATATTAGCAATGACCCTGTAGACACTGAAATTAAAATCACAATACCACCATATAAACACTAAAAAAAAACCCCCCAAACCAAAAACTTAGGTGTAAATATAACAGAACATACACATAAGTTGTATGCTGAAAACTACAAAACACCGGCGAAAGAAAGAAATAAAAATCTAAATAAATGAAGAGACATACCATACTCATGGTTTGGAAGACTTCACATAGTAAAGATGTCAATTCTCCCCAAATTGATATATGGTTTAACATAATTCCTATCAAAACTCCAGCAAGATTTTTGTAGAAATAGACACAATTATTCTAACTTTTATATGGAAATGCAAAGGAACTAGAATAGCTAAAGCAATTAAAAAAAAGAAGATCAAGTGGGTTGAATCAGTCTGATTTTAAGACCTATTACAGGCAGACCTTGGAGATGTCATGGGTATGGGTTCAGACCTCCTCAAAAAAATGAGTCAAAATGAATTTTTTGGTTTCCCAGTGTATATGAAAGTTATGTTTATACTACACTGCAGTCTATTAAGTGTGCAATAGCATGATGTCTAAAAAATGTACCTACTCTAATTAAAAAATACTTTATTGCTAAAAAACTCTGTCATCTGAGCTTTCAGTGAGTCCCAATCCTTTTGCTGGTGGAGGGTCCTGCCTCCGTATGGGTGGATGCTGACTGATCAGGCTGTGGATGCTGAAGGCTGGGGTGGTTGTGGCAATTTTTTAAAATAAGACCACAGTTGGGACACCTGGGTTGCTCAGTCATTAAGCGTCTGCCTTCGGCTTGGGTCATGATCCCAGGGTCCTGGGATTGAGCACCGCATCGGGCTCCCTGCTCAGCAGGGAGTCTGCTTCTCCCTTTCCCATTCCCCCTGCTTGTGTTCCCTCTCTCGCTGTCTCTCTCTCTCTCTGTCCAAATAAAGAAATAAAATCTTAAAAAAAAAAAAAAAAGACCACAGTGAACTTTGCTGTATCCATGGGCTCTTCCTCTCATGAAGGATTTCTCTCTAGCATACAGTGCAGTTTGGCACCATTTTGCCCACAGTAGAACTTCCTTCAGAACTGGAGTCAATCCTCTCAAACCCTGCCTCTGCTTTATCAACTCAGTTCATGTATATTCTAAACCCTTTGTTGTCATTTCAACAATCTTCACAGCATCCTTACCAAGAATAGATGTCATCTCAAGAAACCACTTTCTTGGGGTGCCTGGGTGGCTCAGTCAGTTAAGTGTCTGCCTTCAGCTCAGGTCATGATCTCAGGGTCCTGGGATCGAGCCCCACATGGGGCTCCCTGCTCAGCGGGGAGTCTGCTTCTCCCTTTCCCTCTGCCACTCCTCCCCTGGCTCATGCGTGCTCACTCTCTCAAATAAATAACTAAATAAAATCTTAAAAAAAAAAAAAAGGAACCGCTTTCTTTGCTCATCCATAAGAAGAAACTTCTCATCTGTTAAAATTTATCATGAAATTGTAGCAATTCAAATATAATAATAATGAAAAAGTTTGAACTATTCCAAGAATTACCAAAATGTGACACAGAGACAGCGAGCTAAGGCTGCTAGAAAAATAGTGCCGACAGACTTGCTTGTTGCGGGTTTACCATAAACCTTCAATTTGTAAAAAATGCAATATCAGCAAAGCACAATAAAACAAGGTAAGCCCA